CAATTTAACCAATACCAAGTCTTCCTTATCTCTGAAGGTTTAATTTATACTCTGTCTCTCTTAGAACTTAGGGACACACATTCCAATCTATTTTCCAGAATTCCACTGATAATATTGGTTGGAAAAAGTGCTCTCCTCCAGCTGCCCTAACTTGTTGAGAGTATGGCTTACGCGATTGTAAACTTGCTGCCCTGCAGCAAATCAAATAAACAAATATTTACTGGCTGCTGAGCTCGGCCTTGCAGGAGATACCAAAAACTATGAGATTCACTTTCTGAATTAAAGGGACAAGTTGCCCAGCTGCGCCACAGTACCTATATATTCTCGAGGAGGAAAAACTGCCTGTGCTCTCTGGATGCCCCAGTACACCTGGAGCTTTACTTCAACTACAAGAAACAGCTGGTGTTCATGATTTAAGGCTCAATACAAATAGTAGAGAGAATTTATTTTACAAGCTGTCTGGTTTGGCAAAATTCCAGAATTCATCAAACAGAAAGATAAGGATGATGATGATGATAATAATTTAAAAAAATGATTCTGCATAGTCAGTCTTAATATAGTGACATAAAAGAAATGTAATCTACATAGGACATTCCAGAGCTGGAACATAACCTCAACTTCACCCAAAATAGACTTATAGCAGGACCTTCCCAGCACCTGTAAAAATCAAAGGTGACCCCGTCATATTTGACAAAATTGTACTTAGAAGCTGGACCTGTGAAGGTTTCAGGCAAAGATCCTTTGTGTTAATCCAGTAAAAGGGCATCAGTATCTATTTAACGTGGGAAAGCTCTCAGAGAAAGAGCCCCAATGCTGGATACAGAATACTAAAACACTAAATACCAAAAATGACTTAACATCCAACTAGTGATTTTCTGTGAACTGTTGAGATCTTTTTCATTAACTTTCAAGAAAAGTCTAAAGAAAATAAGGCTCCCAATTAGGGAAAATGCCAATGACCTGATTTATAAATGAATTTCCACCACTTGTTGAGAATAATAATTCAAGCTAACACACACTGAGTGCTTCTACTGCCAGGTAAGGTGCAGAGTACTTTAATACATAAGTTTACTGAACTCTCTTGATAAGCCATTCTAAATACTATCATCATTCTCATTTTAAAGATGAGGAAACTGGAGCTCCAGAGGTTACATTATGGCCCAAGGTCACACGGCTGAGAGAAGGCGTTGGGCTATTCCACTCCTCCTCCCCATCTGTAATCGAGAAGACAGAGTGGTTGTGGTCTGCTCTTCAGTCCCCAGGTGGATGCAGTTCAATGAGCGGCTCTGGTTTCAAGTAGGCAGCCCATGGGACAGCTAATCCCATCCACAGCATGGACTGTATCCCTCACTCTGTCAGCTACTTCACAAAGGTCTTCTTTTGGACCCCAACAGGACTGAGTGTAAGACCTGGAGATGGCTCAGCGAATCCCCTCCCCAATACTGCAAAAAAGAGAACTCAAAATACTTTTTTCCGTTATCAATGGATTATCCCTTTGCCATCCTCACTGGCATCCTTGACAGTGGAAAATGCCATGGAGATTGATTTGATGGGGTGCGAAAGCCTTTTGAACTTAAACGTGTTTCAGAAATTTAAATCATGTCCATGAATGTTTATGGCTCAGGTTTTCTCTTTTTCAGCGGGGCCTTCGCTTAGAGAACAGAACATATTAATTATTTGTCTTAGGCGAGAAACATACTACTCTTGAGATTTTCCATCCATAAAATGTGGATAATAACATCTAGCCCACCTTTTTCACATGGTTTGGGGGAGTATAAAAAGAATATAAAGAAGAAAGTTAAGAATAGTATAATACAAGCCCAAACGCCACCTTCTCTAACTTTCCCAAACTAGAGGCCCCACCATCGCCTATCACTCTCCTTACAGCAACCAATTTTCTTTTATTTATGACAGCTCTCATGATCCAAATTAAATTAAATTGTTTACTTGAGTACTTTCTGTCTCTCCAACTACAATGAAATTCCATGCAAGAAGGGATTTTTGTCTTCTCATTTGCTGTTGTGTTGCCAGTATCTAAAACTGTCCCTGGTACACGCTAGACACTCAATAAATGCATGTTGTACAGTAAAACCTTGTGTTAAAATCTGTATCAGAAACATTTTTAAAATTGGATTTCAGGTCCATAAAAACAGATTAATCATAATCCTTGACTAATGGCATTTTCATCATTGATTCATGCATGGCCCACTTTTATTACTTATTTAGCTATTTAATTAGCTTTTTAAAAAATCATGTAATAAGCACCTGAAAAAATAGAATCTAAAACAAAAGCTAGGGTCCTTCATCTAACCATAGGGCCCTGACACCCATCCCCTCCCCCTGCCTCTCCCCATCTGAAGTAATCATCATTCAGAATCCCAGGTTCTTCATTTCCTCTTGTCATAAGTCCATTTCCCTAGAAGCACAGCCTGAGATAGGATTCTTGTTTAAGGTGATTTATTGAGGGAGTTCTCAGGAGAAGGGGAGTTTGGGAACCAGGGTGGGGCAGGGGAAAAAAGCTAAGGAAGGATGTGGAATCAGCTGGAAACTGGATTCAGAACTCTGGAGCACACATTGCACCACAGTGTTGACCCCACCTTGAGGCAAAAGACTAGCTGTCTGTACTCCCCCAAGTCAGTCGTCATGGGCTCACGTTAGGGGAGGTGATATAGGAAAAGCAGGTGCATAGCCTCCCAGGTGAGGCAGCCCCCATTTGGGTAAGGGCAATTGTTCAGAGAGGGATGGAGCCTTGAGCTGTTGGCAGCCAACAATCCTAGCAGCTAGAGATCAGTGCACTTAACCAGGAAAAGGGGGGCTGGGCATGTCTGCTACATCTTGCTTCTATTTTTATACAGTTTTATCAAATTTTGTATGTCTTCTTCACACACACATATATATGTATATATATTTTTTCCATTGTTTGGAACTTTCTAGAAATGAAATCATACTAAATTTTGTTTTGACTGTATAATATTTCAGTGTGTGAAAATATATTTTATTCACCCATTCTCTCACTGATGGACTTATGAGTTGTTTTTAGATTTTTGCTATTATGAACACTGCTGCTGTGAACATTCTCATATATGTCTCCTGTCATATATGTGCAAATATTTCTTGGGTTTATGCCTGGGGTGGAATAGCTGGATCATAAGGTATGAACTTTAGACGATAATGCCAAACTATTTTCCAAAGTGGTTTTACTAATTCACATACCTGCCAATAATGTATGAGATCCTATCATCCACCTCCTCTCCAGCTTTCTGATTTTTGTAAACTGAATGAGTATAAAATGGCATCTCATTGTGGTCTTGATTTGTATGTCCAAGATCGGTAATCACCTCTTCATATGTTTATCAGATATATCTGTTTCCTCTTATGTGAAATGCTTGCTCATATCTTTTGTCCATTTTTCTATCAGGTTATTTGTCCTTTTCTTATGGATCTGTAGGAGTTCTTTACATGTCCTTTGTCTGTTGTGTGTATTATAAATATTGTGAATATCTTCTAGTTTGTAACTTGTTTTCTCACTTTATGGTGTCTTTTAATAAACAGAGCTCTTAATTTTATTATAGTCACAGGTATTCTTTTCATGGCTTTTGATGTCTTATTTAAGAATTCTTGCCCTTAAGGAATCTAAAGGACAATCTCAATGCTGGGGGTGGCGGGGGGGCGGGGAGGTCCACAAATAGAGCCAGGTTACAGGCGAGTCACAGAGGCAAGCACTGACATGCCTACAGAGGCACTGTCTGGTCAAGGCAGTCCTGACTAGCCAGCACAAGTGACCAGCTGGCTGGCTGGCAGGTGTGTTCTGGTTATAGAATTGGATATATCATGCTATTAGAGCTGGATACCATTAAAAATTCTAATCATAGACTGTAATTAACTTTCCTTGCTCTGATGCCCCGCTCACTAAACAACCTTCTGATTATAATTTGGCTTCCCATGTTTCTTGCCTACAGGGAGAAAATGTACTGTTAGGGCCGACGTGAGGATCCAATCCACTAAACAGTTACATGCCATGATGTAAATTAATAAATTCGTATTCTGATTTTATCATCTGCCTCATCTGAGCTCTGTAGGCGTGAGTCAGCATCCCCGAGTCTAATCAACACGGACACTGAGAACATCAAGCTGCTGAAAAACTAAGAACTAGACCCAGGACCAGAGTGAAATCACCAAGGTAACACTGCCCTGGAGACCCCTTGGCCTGATGGAGAAGACCTTTCTACATGTCATGCAATACAGATGGGGATCAAAATTGACTTTTGACACTATAAAGAGGTGCATATTCAAACCCATGGCTTGGTTCCACTCAGGTGAAGGCAAACAATAGGAGATGATCATGAGACTCATACTGAATATTTATTGGCTTATGAGCACACACCAGATGCTGCACAAATCCTATGCAGGAGGAAAAGATTTACAGACATGTTTGAAAAAAGAAAAAAAAAAAGGGCAGATGGTACATGCTGAGGAGGAATGGAACAAGAGGAACCTGACTGATGAATCCTTGCTCCACCTGGGTACTCACGGTCCAGGGTGTAAAATAGAAGAAAGTGACTTTAAAGACCAAAAAACAAAAAACAAAAAAACCCGGAGAAGGAAACACAGGGTACACCAGAACACAAACAGGAATGTGCCCGGACAGTGAGATTATCCAGGCCAGAGGAGTGATTTAGGACCTGTAGGGTGAGGGCAAGATCTTTGAAATAAGTTCAAAAGGCAAAGTGGAGGTGAACCTACTAGGAGAGATGGGGATAATTTAGCAATCCTACTATTAGATCACCACTTCACCCGGGGTTTCTGGGTGAGCAGTACCTATAACCACACAGATCCTCTCTGGGATCCCAGTTACACTGAATAATACAGGGAAGAAGGTGAGCAGAACTGTAGTATCTGGGAAGTTTTGCCCAGGGATGAGAAGTGATCCTCTACTTTGTATTCAGACCAAAAACAAACAAACAAAAAGGAAAAAAAAGGGAATGACCTATACTATGACTCTACAGGATTTATTTTTCAAAGAAAAATATGTTCAAGAAGGAGTAAGATAAATTAAAGGAAGTTCTGTGTCATCTTTGAGACCCATCTAAAAGATAAGCCTTGTCTCCCACAGCACCTCCCTCGGGACCCCTACAAGAGCAAGGTCACCAGCTGGCTAGATTGGATGAGGCTAGAGAACCATCTCAGATGTCCTTTTGTGCTAAAAATGAGGTAGACACATGCCACCCGGTAAAGGTGATCCCCATTGTGGCCTGCCCAACCAGCTGTGTGGAAGGAAAGTATATAAAATGCTCAGTGAAACAGCAGGACCGGAAAGCAGCGGGGTGACAGAAGCGCTTCTCTCAGGTGCCCCACAGGAATGCACGAACTTCAGGGAGAGGGGCTGGAGAGGGGCTGGAGAGGGGCTGACCTGTGCTGGCTACAAAGCCAGAGGGCTCTGACTTACATGGGAAGGAATGAGCTCCCTTAATACAGCCTCAGCGTGTGCGCATACACAGGATAAATAAATGTAGACAGAGTGGGTTTCCTCCTCTAGTAGAGGTTGTCCCGCACGTGCTCCATGATGGTCTTCAGCCCCAGCCACGTCTCCTCTGCAGTGGGGATGATCTGGTTGGCTGGCAGGAGGAAGCCATAGTGCCCAGTACCTTTCAACTCAAAAGTGAATGCATACTTGATGCCATTATCATACGCCCAGTCAGTACTGCTCCCGCTAGCTGGATCTGTAAGTCAGAAGAGAAAACACCTTTGAAGACTAATTCCTTTCAGGGTTAGACAGGAAGGGGCCAGGAGCTCTGCCTGCCTGTGGTTCCTTAGGATCCAGAATTCTTTCTGAACATCATCAGGCCTATAACACATAAACAATGGCCTGATCCATGTGTCTCAGGCTTTCCTGCACCATGAGGGTCTTCACTAGTCTCAAATCAAGAGATTTTAAATCCTCATTCCCATCTTGTCACTAACTCACTGTGTAGACTCCTGCAGGTCACTCAAAACCAATCTCTACAGAGACAGAATGTAGGCAGCCTCCAAGATATCCCAATGATCTTTGTCTCCTGGGATTCATGTCCTTGTCTAGTGCCCTCGTACATTGAATAGGGCTCACCTGACCTGTGTAACTAACAGGAGACTGCAGAAATGAAGGTGTGTCACCTCCAACGCTAGGTCATAAAAGATATTGTGGCTTCTGCCTTGCTCTCTCTTGGATCACTCGCTCTGGGGAAAGCCAGTGGCCATGTTGTAAGGACACTCAAGTAGCCTTATAAAGAGGTCCACGTGGTGAAGAACTGAGGGCTCCTGCCAATAATCAGCACTCACTCACCAAGCACCTGAGGGAGCCACGATAGCAGCAGATCTTCTAGCCCAGTCAAGCCTTTAGATGACTGTAGCCCTGGAAGACACCCTGACTGCAACCTCATGAGAGACCCTGAGCTAGAGCCACCCAGCTGAGCTGCTCCTGAATTCCTGACCCACAGAAACAGTGTAAGAAAATGAACGTTTATTGTTTTAAGCTGCTAAGTTTTAGGATAACGTTTTACATAGCAAAAGATAACTGACACACAGAGAGAAACAGGCTCAGCCTTTGGGACTTCCCTTTGCCAAAAGGCTGGAAAAAGGCAAGAAGCCTGTTTTTCTGCTTCTTCCCAGTCAAACTCTACCAGAGCAGAAATTGGCTAAAAGTGCAAAGTGTAGATGATATTGAATAATAAAATTATTGAATTTATTGAACATCTACCCTGAGCCAGTCATTATACTGGAAACTTTATATTTATGATCTCACTTAATCTTTAAAAACCCAAGTAGGTATTTATTGTCTTTGTTTTACAGATGAGGAAATCCAGGCTCAGAATGGGTCATCTATCCAAGGAACCATAAACGGAAAATGGCAAGGCTAGAATTTAAACCCAGGTCCATCTAATGATAAAGCCCATGCTTTCTTCAACCTACTTCCGGTCCATTTGGTATACTACATGTCTGTTGAACGAAAATATGGGTCCTTTTGTTTTTCCATTGTTCCTAATGGTTGTTTCTCATGATACCATTGTGACTTTTCTAGAGATGCTGCTTCCACTGAGATTACACGCTCCCTGGGCATGTGGAACTGGCTCTCCTACAGTCTCTGAAATCCTTGTGTGGTTCCCATAGCCTTTCTCTATCCTGAGAAAATGCTGAATAAAAACCAGACAATGGCTCCAGAGGTTGCTAGAGGTTATTTACGTGGCCAGCTCAAGTATTTCAGAACACATTTAAAATTCAGGAAGGAGGTAAGCAGGCTTCTGCTGAACAGTCAAAGTGATCGAGTTCAAGAACTTCACTTTATTTGGGTCCCTGCTCAAAGCCTATCTACTCTTTTTTTTTTTTTTTAACACAAATGGGAACATACTATTAACACTGTTCTACACACTTAACATTTGAAGATTATTGCCTATTAGCACATATAGATCCACCTCATTCATTTAAGAGCTGTATACTGTTTCATTGTATGAATGTACCAAATGTGTTTTTATTCAGCACTCTACTGATGGACATTTAGGTGCTTACGAGTCTTTTGTGACTGTAAACAATGCTGTCATGAACACCCTTCACACTCAGGATCTATCCACGAACCAAACAACCCCAAAGAACTTGTTCCCAAACCCTTAGTAGATCAGAATCAGTGAAGAGGAGGGGAAAGGGCTGCTAGAGGCAGTTGGCCCGAAAGCCATACAGTCTGATCATAGGAAGGAGACATGAAAACTCTAAAAAGCAGATACAACAATTAAAGAAGCAACACAGGCCAGGGCTGTTTAGCACAGGGATGGAACAGTCCAATAGGGCACAGTAGGTCTTCAGGATATAACAAGTGAAATTCAGAAGGCCACTCAGTCATGAAGAAAGGAGCTTAAATCTCTTCTACATGCTCTGTTTAAGAAGGCATGAAAGTGTGAAATCCATTTTAGAATGAGTTTCATCTAAAATGGTTAATCTAAGAAAAGGTCCAGCACTTGAAGGGATAAATTTCAACTATTTATGTAGCACATGCCATAACCCATGGAGTTAGAGAGTTATTATACAAAAATTGATCACATTTTTAGAAAGCAAGGAGGGCAGACGAAGCCTATAAAGAATACAGAAGATAGGCTCTTAAAAGAAGTAGGAAATTTTTTTTTTTTTTTTGCTGAGGAAGATTCTTCCTGAGCTAATATCTGTTGCCATTCCTCCTCTTTTTGCTTGAGGAAGATTCGCCCTGAGCTAACATCTGTGCCAATCTTCCTCTATTTTGTATGTGGGTCACTGCCACAGCATGGTTGCCGACGAGTGGTGCAGGTCCATGCCCAGGAACCGAACCCAGGCTGCTGAAGCGGAGCATGCCGACCTTAACCACTAGGCCACGGGGCTGGCCCTGAGGTAGGAAATTTTACAACTCCTGGACAATCCTGAGGAGAGCCTTCCTCCTCTTTTGTTGGAGGAATCTGATGAGTATCTCTTGATTTTGGTACCGCTTATGCTGGGGAGAAGAATGCATTTGATGTGGGAAGACAAGGCCATCCTTTAAACTGGTGTTTGACCCAAAATCCAGAACCCAGGTGACACACAAAGATGTTTTGAGAGGACCCCCTGGGTTGGAGGGCTCCTACCAAGTCTCTTTAACTCTCTTTGGCCCCAGACTCAGTTCTGACTAATGAAGCAGAGGGTGGAGAAACTCTCCTGATGTGTTTGTTCTCTGAGGAATTCCCATCTAACAACACTAATAATAATAAACCATGAATAATTAACGGATTGTTGCCGCACTTAGCAACACAAACACCAACAGCACGCTAACTGCTTTATGCAGCATGGTGGCAGAACCACAGACAAGGGTGCTGAGATCCGAGTACACAGGAGGATCCAAGACGTGGGATGGAGGATCTTCCCACAAGAGGAAGACTGAAGGGAACAGCTAGTCGAGGGCGAAGCAGGTAAGATGGGAGAGTGAGTTACAGTATGGAAGAGGAAAGAAATATCAGCACGTTTGCAGGGGCTCTGAGGGTGGACAAATTGTTGGAAAACTATTTACAGTGGAGGCACTAGAAGGAAAAAGAAGAGCATTAGCTTAAAAGGGGTCAGAGCTGTGCTTCCCATGTTTGTATTTACATTTTCCATTTTAGCTAGGGTCCTGGAGATAGATCATACTCTTCAGTGGGATCTTTAAATTTAAAGAGCAGAGTAAGGGAACTAGAAGGATCTCAGCAGGAATAGAATGAATTGTTCAGATGAAACACTTCAGTGAGAAACCAAAACAAAGGTATTTCCTCAAAATGAGGTTGAGATTGTGGGTAATGAGCCTCAAGACTATCTTCAGGTTTTGGGTTTTGGTAGAGTTTTGGTTTTGTTTTTTTTTTTTGGCTTGATGCTAACCATTGTTGGGAGGACCCCCTAACCCAGCACCCAGCCTTGCGCCAAAGCTTGTTCATCTCTACTATGAAGGTGGGGGAGTCTCCTCTACCCCCACTTCAATCTGCCAATACAAAGGTGGATTTCCTTTGAAAATGGAATGGCAGACTTGAGGAATTTTTGATAAACTACATCAAGATCTTTAATGGAAGATAAGGAACACAGACTCTACCATGCTGACAGGACTTGACTCATCATGGACACATGATAAACAGATGATAGTGGGGATGATGCTGATGAAGGTGACCGCCTGCAACAGCTACTATCACACAGGCTTGACATAAATTCAGTCTATTACTAACGAGAAAAACAGTCAGTCCAACTTGCAGCTCTTCTCCTGCTCCATTGCAAATTTCCTCTCAAAGCATTTTCTAAATAACCAATAAATACAATGAGTACTTACAGACAGTGGTGCAGGTAGGACCCACTCGGTAGACAGTGCCCGACAGGGAAGCAAGAGCTTTGGCTGCATGCCTTGCCACCTCGTCCTAGGAGAGGAAATCAGCAGAGTGAGAAGGAATGGATCCTGCAGCCTGACATTCCTCAGCTGTTCTGGTTTGAAAGACTCTCCACCCCTCCTTCGATTTTCTCTTCTGGTCTTCTTTCCCATCCAACCAGATCCAAGGCCTGACTATAAATTGAGGGAAATGTCACAGTTCTTCCAACTCCTTCTCCCACTACGTCCCCACTTCTTTACTTCCAGTTTGGGGAAGGAGGTAAAGAGAGAGTGGAAGAAGAAGGATAAGCACTCTGAAAGTGTGTGTATTATACACCCAAATTGGAGGAGCTGTATTTAAGCTCTCCAAAAATCAGAGGGCTGCTCACCAACCCATTGGGAATCTAGTAAAGACACCATCATCTTCACCTATCCTGAAGGAAAGGTATGTCATATTCATAAACATGAGGGAAGGTCAAGTACATTCAAGAGAAAACCTTCTAAGAGTTGCGTGTTCCCAGAGTAGAGGTGGAGACAGGTCCACTACATACGAATGTGCCCTATGCGGAGTGCCTGCTTGAGATCAGAATCTAGTCCACACCTAGCCAGGAGCCCTGCACCAGCTGGGAGGTTTATGGGCTAGCTGTGACCCTGGGCAGAAGGGCACATTCAAGCCGACCAGCACAGAAGGAGAGGCCTACAGTCCCCCTGCTGATGCCAGCCCTGCTCCAGTCAGTCCACCTTCAGTGCCTGTTCACATCCTGGGGTGAGTCACTGTAAGTGACACAGAGCACCCCTGGACTGTGGCCTACACCCTACTTAAACTCTACCTTAACCAGAGTGAGGAGCACCTCCCCCTTGCCCACCACAATGCCACCCACAGTTCTTGGCAAGCAGTGGGTCTGCAGTACATTTTGGTCAGAAAAACAAGTGAGAAGGATGGGCAGGGGTCAGCTGTGGTTCTTGGAACTCACAGTAAGCACAGAAATAAGGTATATTACTTCTTCCTGTCCCCAGTAGGCCTGATGGCACTTCCCAAAGGGCAGAGAGAGAAGACTGGGCCCTTAAAGAAACAAGCCCAGGCTTCTAGACTTTCTATATAAAGCTGTAGAACCACCACCATGCAGCACCCAAGGGTAAAGCAGGCCCTGGGCTGGGGGGAAGGCAGCCCATCACTCACCAGCTCCTCAGCATCTGAGGCCTTGTTGACCGTATACCCATACTGATACATTAGCAGCTGTGAGTAGCTATGCAGGTCGATGAAGCATTTGAAATTCCCGTGTTCTTGGATGAAATCTACCACCGATTTCACCTCCACTTCCGAATTGGCATGGGGTCCATGGTACACTTCAGAGCAAGGGTTGTCACTGGTTCCCTCTCCTGTAGGGGGCAGCCCAAGCAGAACATTAACCCATAGGACAAGAAAACACTCAACCCAGAGGAGGGGCAGAAGGTACTGACAATGGGCAGGCCACTGCTAGATGCCCCCAAGAACCTGATCCATGGTGTGTATATAATTGCAGGGAGGATATAGAAGTGGGAGGTCAGGGTGCTGGATCTGCCACAGCTGAGGAAGAAAACTGGTAGGACTCCTTTAAATGGATAGAGTTGACCTTGTATTGCATCACTAACAGTTGTCATAAATAATTAATATCATACTTGACAATGAGTAGTAATTAATAAATATTCTAGATAATTACTATGAGTACCAATTAATAATGAAAATGACTCCATTTATTCTGGTGTCAACTCATTCTCTTGGTTCAGATCTTAATGGCCAGGCACTGCCAGAAATAATCTATTGTTGTGGCTAAAATCTCTTGATATTTTGACAGGTATTGAGAAATACTGCCTTCTGTATTACTTCACAATATGGCTCCCTGAGGGATCTGGTGTGTGTGTGAAACCACCCCAGTTGTGAGAATATCTGAATTAACTTTGATCCCCTCGGTTCCACATTTGTATCAGCTCCTTTCCCACAGTCACATTATTTTTCCCCCAATGGTTTGTGTGGTATTTCTATGCAAGTAAAAGAAGTACATTAAAAACAAAACATCAGTACAGCTGTAGAACAGTGAAAGAGAACTATTTGGATTTGGAATGGCAAGGTGAGTTTAGATCCTAACTCTTAACCATACGCTTTTGAGATTGTCTCTGAGCTTCAATTGTCTCATTTCAGATAATAAAATTCACTCACTAGGTAAGAAGAATAAGATAACAAGAATAAGATAATACATGGGTAAGTACCCGGCACATGGTTGGCACTATTGTGGGGATGATTTTTAAACAGCTGGAACTCAGAACCCAGGGCTCCTAATTCTCATTCTCTTTCCATCATATCAAAGGGCTGAGGTTCCTATTTATACATCTCAGGGTAAACTGCTGGAGTTTAATCCTCACACCACTATCTTGCCTGTCAGGGTAACAGTGCTGATAGCTCTCTTCTAAGTTGCCACCAGGAGCCCTTCCACCCACACAGTCACTCACCCAGGAGAAGCTGGGGTGGCCAGGGTATAAAGAAAAGCTGTGGATTTGTATATCTAAGACCAGAATGGTTTTTAAAATATTAGCATTCTCTCAGGAAGACAGGAATTGCAGAGTCATTCTCTTTCAAAATTACAAAAAAAAATTTTTTTTTTAAATGAGACATGGAGAGCGTAAAGGATTCACCCAAGTCTCTCAGTGAATCAGCAATGGAGCCAGCCTGGAAAGAGGCTCCCTCACCGCCAGCTCAGAGCCCTGTGGACCAGGCTACCCAGGGGTAGCAGGATTTGAAAACTGTCTTCCCCAACCTACCTGCAAAACTAGAGTTCCAATTTCTATTTGGATCAGCGCCAATGCAGGAGCTTCCAGAATTTAGGGATCGTGTCTTCCTCCAAAATTGGTTCTGAAAAATCCACCAAGGAACGAACAAGCATCCAGACACGGGTTAGAGCACAGGAGAGGTGAAGGTTTTCTTTGGGGGCCTATGATGGAGATGGGCACCATGGACGGGGCAAGCTGCTTGCCGTTCTGCCTGGTGGATCATCGGGGCTCCAGGCCTCACTGACTGAGCAGTCTCCTCTCATGCCCCAGAGGGACGAGGCTCAGCCCTCCTGGCTCTGAGAGAGGGACTCCTCCAAAACGCCCTGATGAGAACTTTATGATGCAAGAACCAGGCTGATATCACCTGAACCCACTGAGTAATTTCTGGCTTCGGTTAAAGTGGGACAAATGACCATCACGTGCCCGAATGATCGCTGATGCGATAGGAAGCGCACAGCAACGATTTTATTCTTGCCTAAAAAGTTAACCTGAATCCAATCAAGCCTCTAGATCTGACCATCAGTGAATAGGAAACACGAAGGATAAGGGAACAAATTAAATGGCGCACAACCAAGAAGCCATTAGCCAAATTCAGAATGTGAGAAGTTCTGCAGGACAATTTACTTGGTTTCTCCAACAAGTGTAGGACATTTTCAAAAGATATGTGTGTGGTGGTGGGGGGAGCGGGGTGGGGTAAATGTTGTAGAATGAAAAAGCCCGCAGAGCCAGAATAACCAAATGCAGGGGTAGACCTTATGTGGATCCTGATTTCGACAAATTGACGCAAAAGACATTTTAAAGATAATTGAGGGTATTAGATGATATTAAAGAACTTCCAGGGCCGGCCCTGTGGCTTGGTGGTTAAGTGCGCGCGCTGCGATGCTGGTGGCCCGGGTTCGGATCCCGGGTGCGCGTCGAGGCACCACTTCTCCGTTCATCCTGAGGCCGAGTCCCACATACAACAACTAGAAGGATGTGCAGCTACGACACACAACTATCCACTGGGGCTTTGGGAAAAATAAAATAAATAAAATCTTTAAAAAAAAAAAAAAGAACTTCCATTAATTTTTTAACAGTGTATTGTTTGTTTGTTTGTTTTAATTATCATCAGCTAGAGATGCATACTAAAGAAGTTTTGGGTGAAATAACCTGATGTCTGGGATTTGCTTTAAAATACATCAGGAAAAAAATGTGTGGGAGGAAAAGAAATAAAAAGAAGATTGGTGGAGTGTTGATAATTGTTGAAGATCCAACATAGGGAGTTCATTAGACTATTCTCTCTAGGAAAAAATATTCCCTGGTGATTCTCAGCTCAGGGAATGATTGGAAAATGAGACCCCAAGGAAGCTCACAGCATGCACATTTGTGGAAGTTTTCTCCAAGGTCATACAACTATTTAGTGACAAAGCAAGGAATTCAACAAACAAGTCTTAACATCAAGCCCCGCCCACTTGATATTACTCACTTCAATTTGCATGTATAAATATCCATCAGGATTGGCCACAGGCAACAAGAAAATATCCATCTTCTCCAAGATGGAGGTGATGGCTGGATCTTTCCCATAATCAGATACAACCTAAGCAGAGACAACAACGAGCTTCTCAGCTCGGCCATCGCAGGCTGGGTTGCTAGGTCTAAGCCTGTGTATCTTCCCCAGATGCCCAGCTCCTAGAATAGCATCCACCCTCTGCAGCCTCCCTGCCACCCTCACAAACAAAGCTCTCTGCAAAGCCCTCAGAGCACTTCAAAACCTGGAAACAGGGCTGCATGATGACAGCAACTGCAATGAGTCCTGGGCTGCCTGGCTTATTCATTCCTTCCAGGGCACGGGACAGGGAAGGGAGAGCCACACATCATAACAGTTATTAGGAATCTGCGCCCCCATGCTAGGGGTAGGGAAGATGGATCCTCCACATGCACCACCCCTCCTCTCCCAGCACTGGCTTAAAGCAGGCTTTCCAAAGGGACATGGAGACATCATGAGGTCCCTGAGGGCCTGGGGGACTTGGAAGGGACTGAAGGCAAGCTCATCTGAGTTTTCCTGCTGAGAAGGCTCTGCTCCCTTTCTGCAGGGCTGACTATGGGTCAGTGTTTCAGGGCTGCCTCTGCGGCTCATTAGTTTGCTTACCGCCGTGAATGCACTTTGTCATTTAGCCACAGTGGCTTGATCAAGGGGCTCTGACCTTTTGCTCCTCTGATCTGAAAAGGCCCCCAGACCACTGTATCTATGCAGAGCGCCTTCCCACCTCATCCCCCAGGCCCAGTCTCATGGGACACAGCAGGGGCACCCTGAGCACACTAGAATTCTCAGCTAATACCAGGTGACATGACCTTCCTTGCAGTCCAGATGGCCGTAGCCGGTGAGATCCACTCCCGGGAATGGATGCCTGCGTTCAGCCAAATGGCCAGCCGCCGCCTGCCTTCTACAGTGCTGAACTGTGGAAGGAAAAAGAGACCAGAATATGACCCTACTGCCCGAGTCTCCACTCACCTCTCTTCTCCCCAACACGCCCCTATTCATTTAATCCATTTAAGATAATTCAGAGACCAAATGTTCCTGAGGGCACCATCTATTTATCTGGTTTATCCGTGACCAGGGAGCTTAACTGGTTGGCTGGTGGGGCCCAGCCACAGCCCGGGCAGCTAGAGCTGCTCCAGGGTTGGAAGTAAATGGGAAGGGGAAACAATTGCTATTGTGAATTATAGTGCCAGTGTGATTAGAGATAATATTATGTCTCTTGAAGGACCTCAAATGGTATCCCAACAGAGAGAGACACAAGAGTGCATAAACCAGCCTGTTCTAGTTGATGCAATAAAGGAATTCAGTTTTAAAATGAGGTAGAGGGGTTCACTAGAGCTCTTTGTAAACGGCATTAAATGAATTCTGGCTCCTGCCTTTTAGTGTGGGGCCCCCTTGGGTCAGAGCTTGGTGCTAATAAAGCCAGGGTCTCCATCAGATTGGCAAATAATCTAAATTTATGTAGATTATTTTAGAGCAGCCAGCTCAGTGCAGGTCTCCTCCTGCTGGTAATTTAACCACTGCTGTAAGCCTGGGCTCTTCAGGGCTTAGATGAGGTTGAAGGTTTGACAAGTTCTTAGCACCATCAGTTGTTCCATGGTTCATATCTCCAAATTCTTTTTTATTCATTCAGCTGGATTATTTATGTAATTTATGTCACTGCCATAAATTCTCTACCTCCTTTGCCAATATAGACCTGAATCTGTTAGAAATATCTGGAAATTAGGCTTTGTGCAGCCAAGGATCATAGGCTGGGCTTAAAATTACATCAACCCTAAAATTAGCTTCCTAGATTGCTTTTCCAATAAGTACCCCTAAAAGCAGAATAGAATTCGTAGGCCTATCCCAATTTGTCTTGATTTTTACAGAAGGTGGGAATGAAGACAAAAGACTGTGGCCCATCTGAGAGTTTTCTGGAATACTAACCACCTCCCCACTTCCTCTTGATCCTGCCTTTCAGTCAAAACTTGGAACGGAACATGCTCCTTCTAACTCCCTCCATTTTAGGCAAAAGCTGGGGACTCTCTGTCAGACCAAATTCAAACCCAGGTAGATGTCTCCCCCACCTCACTCTCCTCCCTGAAGTCAAGAAGGTCCTAAAAAGCTGCCTCCTTCAGAGGTGTGAGGGTGGGGTCCGGGACACAAGGAACCAGGTGCCTCAGTCCAGGCAGGCCCTTCAAAGAGCATGGGGCCTCACCTTCCGTACATACATGACTGGTTTTCAAACGAATGCCCAATCTTCACCCTGCACGCCAAGTCAGGAAACTCTCCGGCAATGTTGTCCATCTCATGGTAAATCTGAAACATAAAAAAGTAAACTTGGGGGCATTTTTTAAATTTTTCACCTCTGGGTGGGTATCTGTGAACTTTATCTTGTTGATCTTAATGATTTCTTCCAGCTCCCTAACCTTAGGGTTGACAATATTATCAGAGGAATGCTTATGCTTGAGGAACTGTCTAAGAGTCCATTTCTACTAATTTCACATTTTATTTGTCCACAAAATTAGAGTCCATTAGACTGGAGTAGAGAGACTTGGGCAGACATTGTTCCAACAATGTGGCCCTGTGCACTATACTAGACTGGCTAATCAGCGATGGCCCCATTCAGCCATGGTTCTTAAAAGCATTGCTCTCCAAACTCTTTTGATTACTTTCTCCATCAGTAAAAAAAAAAAAAAAAGAAAAAAGCATGCACTATGCATATATATACTACTATGTAAATCTATTATGTACATTATAAAACAAAATATAGAAATAAAAATGGTTACGCTAATAAAAAACATAAACATATGTAGAAATATAAATAGAAGGTGTAATAGTTTCTTCCTCCATCCTGGTGGACCATCTTGTTTATACCCTGCACTATAGGCACCCCACCTGGGAGATAATTCCTCTAAAGGCTTTTAGAGAACAAGTGAAGAGATGTAAATCATGGCTACCAACGCTTCTATTTGCTTTCGATAAAAAAAAAAAAAAAGAATTAAATAGATTTTATCCATCTTAGTTGCTCAAACTTTACGAGGGTCAAAAGAAGGAAATAAATTTATATTTAGACCTTAAAATTGAAAGGCGGAGCCTTACAGAGGAAGAAAATGTGCAATCAATATAGAATAAAATCAAGCTTGCAGGGTTTATCAGACTTGCAGTCAATACGGCAGATTGAGCGGAAGCAAGAAACCACCCCCAGATATATAGGCAAGCCAGATAAAATACAATGAAGATGATTCACGATCAAGTTTAAAGGCCAAAAAAGGAGAAATTGCAGGTGTCAGAAATAAAGAGGGAACTAGCTGGCAGAGGGGAGGGCAGAAGATATAGCCCCGGGACCAGATATCTGCTGCCTGAGGTGCTGAGGGTTTACAGCAAACCAGGAGTGGGAGTAGAGAGCACAGGACCCAGATGGGGGCAAGGAGCTGGAACTTGAGAGCTGGGAATCAGCAATTTCAGCCACGAAAAGGGCCTAGAAACTCTACCCTCTGACCTAGAAAGTGGAGCAAAAGCCAGAAGCCTGCCCTAAGCTATGAGGGAAAAGAGAGTCACCCAGGAAAAGTTAAAACCCCAAGCTGTGTCCAGATGGGGGGGTCCAAATTCACACTGCTAACATCAGGGGAACACTCATTGGAGAAACTAACAAAAATAACAGCAACCACAACAACACACACAAAGGGTCTGAAACTCCCACTGAAGAGACACACGAAATTCCCGCTAGAGACCTAAGAAGGCCTCAGTGGTTGTAGGATACGAGCTCTTAAAAGCTGTTTTTAGAAAGAACTGAATATGATCAAGCCAGGAGGGAGACAGTACACTAATTCACAGCGAAGCCCTCTCAGGGAACAAGAGGGAGCTGTAAACCACATGAAAATTGCACCTAGAGTCAAGAGAACAAAAGCAAGTGGAAGAGAAAGTGAGGCTCCCACAACAGGCAGGTGACGGGATGGAGTTTCTGGGGTCTTGGGTGACATTTGCAACTGGTTAGCACAGCTAGGGAGTGCCCCATGTTAGTGAGGCTAACGTCATGGGTTTGATCCCTGTGTGGGCCCTGAGCTCTGCTTTCATCCGTCGCCCTGGACTGAACTCCTAACTTTATCCAGCTGTTTTGCAGATGTATGTCATTGGTCACAAGAGGGATCAAGGGGCATTGTGGTTGGAAGTGTACACAATAAACAAAGCTACTGACAATCGTGGGAAAGAAGTAGAAATAGTTGGTCAACCTTTGAAATAATCCCTCATCTAGAAGAAAAACAACTCAAAGTATACGCCTCATGAAAAGCATGCCAGGAATACCATCTTTGGATATAAAGAACAACATGTATTCAGGTATAGGAAAAAGAATATCAATTTAGATTCAGCATGTGTTCCCGAGCTAGCAGAGAGTTTCCAGACTAATGAAGAAGACATTGAGGGACATATGAGAATTGCATAGTATGTGATGTGGTTCCATTCTATAGTTCCTCTTGATTTCTCAGGTTCCAATATCATATTAAATTATTCTGCTCCAAGTTTTTCATTTGAAGGGTTGGCTTACCTTGAAAGTTAATCATCTGTATAAAGTGGTTTCTAACTAAACACAGCACCAAAATTCATTATGGACAAATACACATTATAAGTAGTCATGATAAATGAGTGGAAATACTTCGTTAACCTTGGAAATAACCACTTGTCTACTTACCTGGAATACAAAACATTTTAACCTGGCTGAATAAAATACAGGGATTATGGTGGGGTATAACACAGTTGAATTACAAGGACTGGAAATGATTGCAATTATTTCACGGTTTCCTTTAAGGGGTTGCTGAAGAAAAGAAGGATGCACATGGGAGATAACGTTCAGTTTGCATTCCACTATGCTCTAGGGGCTGACGGAAGTTAAACAACTCAAGAATTAGAAAGGAACTGAAGTGTACACATTTTACCCCTCAGTAAAGGGATATTGTGCCAAGGACTAATACCTCCTGAAAGTAAGGAAACAGGTTACCAAACCCAGGAGGCCCATGACCTTGACCTTAACGTGCTTTGAAACACCTACAGCTTCCAGGGAATGGTAGGCTCCATAGTTGAAGTTATTATTGCTCCGTTCTTGCCCTTCATTGTGTCGCATTTCTTCATCTTCGTTATCTAAAAGGGCCTAAAACAGACATGGCAACACTGTGAAGTGATCCATTGGAGATGGAGGTTCATGTTGTTTCTGCCATATCGTGGCACATGGGCTGGCCAAGATGGCAGCACCCTGGGCACACATATCAAACAGCACAAATGTCAAGGTGTAAAAGGGGGTCAGATTTCTTCTTCATATCTATAAAATCTTATTTCTTGGCACCCAACATACATCACCCCATTCAAAGCCCACTGACTCCCTGGAAACAACATATGTGCTATTTGGTTATTCTATACTATGAATTCTCTATACATCAGCCCACATCTGGTATCCAGTGCCTCTGAAATACACAACTTGGGAAACCATTCAGAAACAAAGAAATTCTTATAACCACTCATACTTTAAAGGTTCCTGGCAGATGTCTGTGACATGCGAGGATGATTAATAAGCGCACAGCTGCTCACGCCATCAGGAAACTCCCGGGCCAAATCACCAATTAGTCCACAACCCACCTCGGTAAAGGAGAGAACACGAGCCAGACACTGTCCTGCTGTTCAAATACAGGTCGTGAGGCTGGTGTTTGGCTTGGGTGATGATGTTCCCTCTGCTGGGGTCTGTTGGTGACAATCCCCCTTTTTCAAAGGATGCTTTTTATGACTGATCTCCAACACCCTCCACCTCCCTGCCCACTCTGTTCTTCCCTCCTGACTTCAAATAAGGAAAAGAGACTTAATATTTATGGGGCATCTATGATGTACCAAGCAGTTAGACATTTTACATATATTTAATGACTTAATCTTCTCAATAAATCATATGAAATAGGTATCACTATTACCATTTTACTAGTGAAGAAACAGAGGTTCAAGAGGTTAATAGCTGGTCCAAAGTCACACAGCTAGTAGTTAGCAAAATCAAGATTTGGATCCAGATCTGTCTGGTTCCCTAATCCATGTATGCCCTCTCTACTACAACATGTTCTTCTAACAACTCACTGCACTTTACTTCTATATACCTCAATGTCTTCATCTGTAAAAATGGAGAAGGGTAAGACCAGAACTTGAAAATGTCTCACATCCACTCTGGCTGCTTGGTCCTATGCAAGACCAGTGAGGGACCTTGGCCTACCCACCTGCAGGTCTTCAATTGTCACTGAGTACTCTAAGCCCTGGGACTTCAGGAAGGATTTGACTGGCTGCAGACTGACAGATGGGACCAGGACATCCACAGGATGACTGAAGGTGGAGGGAGATTTCCAGACGTTGAGCTGAAGAGAACAGAAATAAAACCAGGTTAAAGGACAGTTCAGGTAAAAGGCACAAGGAGCTCATTCTTCGGAACCACTGCCAAAAGCCAGGGTGCTCCCTGAGGGGCCAGGCTCTGTCCAAGGGCAAACTCTGCCCATTTAACAACTGTGTCTGGTGAGGCCAGCCCAGCAGGCAACACCTGGCAAAGACCAAGAAGTAATTAGTCAATGGCAGATAGAAGGATGGACCCCACTGCTGAGGCCTGCGATCTCCCAAGACAGCACTGCTACGATCTACAGCACCTCTCCCCCATCAACCCTCTCAGTTGTGTAAAGGCATGTTGACTAACACAGATTAGACACAGAAACGCTTCAGGAATAATAATGCTGGTGGTGCAAGAGTCTTCTCCCACCAAAGTCAGAGATACTCAAGAGGACTAAGAAGAACCAGGTACCTTAAAGTTGTCTGAATTCAACAGCTGACTTAGTTTGCTGCTCTCGTCTCCATTTCTGACATTAATCCTAAAAACTTAGTCCCTAAAGAAAAAAAAATGCAAAAGATAATGGTGAGCTTTCAGCTGGCAAATAAACCCCAAGCCTTCTATCCCAGACATCACTGGACTGAAGGAGAGGAAATGGTCTAGTCTTTGGTTACAATGTATAGCCATTAAAAATAAGGCTACATGGCAAATATGAAAAAGTGCTTATGGTATAACTTTAAGGGAAATATTAAGTGAAAGAGCAGGACACAAAATTGTATGTATGCCATGATTACAAGTATGGAAAAAACAGATGCATTGGAAGAAAAACAGACAACGGAAATATAGCAAATGCTGACAATGCTTATGTTCGGGTCGTGGGATTATAGATGACTTACTTTTTTTTCCCCTTGTATCTGTTTTCTGTAATGTGGTCATATTACTTTATAATGAAAAACATATATATTTTGCAGAAAGGAATGTTCCTGAGTTACATGCAAAGCTAACTCAAGACATAAAGAAGCACTTCTTCACTGTCAGGGGCTAGGACTGAAACTCTGGCTGAACGTCCATGTTGGAAAGAGCTGGAAAACAGAACAGACCTTCCATCCTTGGAGGGTTAGCTATTTTCCTCTTAGCAAAGATGAGAGAGTCTGGGTGCCTTCTCATTCCTTTCCAGTTCCAGAACCCTGTACAAATGTGAATTACAACCTGGACCAGGGTGTTGGGGCTGAACTTGGGATTCAATCCTCCCAAGGGGGCCCTGAGAGGGCCCAGAAGGGAGCCGGCCAGTCCCGAGCCCCCTTTGTTGTTTGTTCTGCACTTGTTTCATATACGCCATTTAGCTGGAAGCCGCAGCAGCAGGGGTAGAGGCCCCCTGAAGTCCTGTGTGTGGGTGGGAGAAGGCCGAGCCTGAAAAGCTGCCTTTGTGCTCTCAGCCGGCTCAGGGAGCCAGGGGAGCCATTAGGCCGTTGCTAGGTGACAGCCCGAATGAATCTGCACTCGACGCTGTCACATGCGTCATCCTTTTGACACAATGAATACGAGAAGAGCTGCTGGAGAGGGCTGTGGGCTGAAGGACCTGTTGACAGAGAAAATGGTCCTGTCACAGGGAGCTAAACGTGCAGCCTCACATGGCAGATCAGCATCTCCCCATCAGAAAACCGGCTCAATCCGGATGGACTCTCAGGGTTTAACTTTGTTCTGGGAGGTTCTAGAGGATCTCTGGGGGGTCTAGTCCAGCCCCAAGGAGGCAAGGTGCACTGTAGAGTTGCTTCCATTGCAAATGGCAGGTCTGGAGGAAATGCCAGTGACCAAGGCTCACTTTCTCCCGACTCACCGGTCCCCACAGGGTTGTGGAAGGTGGGCTGCTTACTGCATCTCAGGGGAGCCGCTGAGGCTGTAAAGGAGAAGCCGCTGACTGGGCAGGTCTCAGCCTGAACCCAACAGGCTTGCTAGGAGTCAGACTGCAGCCCTGGGAAGATGGGGAGTCAAACCACCACTTCCCTGACACTGGGCAGGCAGCCTCGCAAAAAAGGGACAGGTTTAATACAGAAGGGAAATCCTCACTCCTGGCTGAGTACCAGGGCCCAGCTACCAAACTCATGCTCTGTCACAACCCATCCCCCCATAACACTCCAGAAAAAGGGATGTCTTAAAAATGGATGTTCTAGAAAGCACTGACATCTCTACTGGCAAAATTAGGTATTTGTAAAATATAGCACTGATTAGAGCAATCACAAAAAAGGAGGGGAGGAAAAAGGAACGGGAAGAGAAAAAAAAGCAGAACATAAGAAGACGGAGCTCTTAGGAGTATGAAAATCATGTTACACATTCACCCAGAGCATGTGTTTTACTTTTCCCGAGGTGATAACTTCACAACAGAACTTCCATACTCCTGGGCACAGTCCACGACAATGGAACACAGTGGATCTAACTGGCCCTGATGGTGATTAAATCCACAGCCCAGGGCCGGCCCCGTGGCTTAGCGGTTAAGTGCGCGCGCTCTACTGCTGGCGGCCCGGGTTCGGATCCTGGGCGCGCACCGACGCACCACTTCTCCGGCCATGCTGAGGCCGCGTCCCACATACAGCAACTAGAAGGATGTGCAGCTGTGACATACAACTATGTACTGGGGCTTTGGGGGGAAATAAAATCTTAAAAAAAAAAAAATCCACAGCCCACTTCATCATGCCTTAACTAGCCCAGCTACAGAGGTTCAAGACATATCTGTAGTGTGCAGAGACAGGGTAGAAGGGCTGGTACAGAGCAGGGCCCTTCTCCATCTACCTCTCTTATACCCTCTTGGCTCCAGCCTCGGTGAAATCCCAAATCCACCGTATACTTTGCTCTTCTATGCCTTTGCACGTGCTATTCCCTCTGCCTGGACAACCAGCCCTTTTCCTTATCTGCCTAACAATCTCCCACCTAGGCTTTAGGACCAACTCCCATCACCCATGAGGTTTTCCCTAACCAGAGGAGGCAAAGTTAGAAACAGTCTTCAGATGGTGCTAAAAATTAGGGGTGAGGAGGCTGTCTAACATTATTCTAATGAACGTTAAGTCCACCAATACCTGGAAGCAGAAAGAACATAAGTGGGTGCCAGGTGAAGGGCAACCTTCTTCTTGCCCTCATTGTCCTTGTCTCTATTTGGAAAATGCCTTCTCCAGGCCCTGAGAGTCTGGGTGGCTGAACACGACCTATCTCCACCATCTGGAAATTCATTCAAAGACCTTAAGCTCTTTCTGAAGATGGAAGACTGGCCTGGGAGGGGAGATATGGTGAGATTTGCAGGCTGCCACGTTCACCCCTCCCACTCAGCACAGCTGTTCTTGCAGCTCTTCTTAATTCTGGCCCCCTCCAATACCCAGGGCTGTTCAGCTGCTGCGAATGCAATGGTTGTGATCCCCTCTCACTCACTCCCACACTTGTCCCACCTCTGGACAGTCAACAGTCACCTTGGTGCTGAGCTTCTATTCCTCCCCCTTTTGCCATGCAGGCAGCCAGGTGGCCTGTTCTTTGTGCCTTTTTCACCTGCCTCCCCAACCAGGCTTAGCAGCTACCATGAGTACTGAGAGATGGTTTCTCAGAACTCTTAAATGCCTGCCAGCTACTGCCGATGCTACAACCTGTTCTGCAACTACTTCCTGTTCTCTGCCTGCCCCGCACCTCTAGGCATCCTGGCCACCATCCCATCCTTAATATCACTGAAGACCAGGGCAGAAGACACCAGCAGAGTGAGAGAGCCTGGGGAGGTAGGTGAGTTGGGTGGGAGGAATGGAGACTGTGGGGGACAACCATGATCTTCATCCCCATCAGCTCCATACCCACTCCAATCCAACCTGTGTCCTGATTTCCCACCCACTTGAATGACCAGAGGCCAGCTTCCCCTTGCTCTAAATGTTCACCAAGCTGGGTGTTTGGGACATGTCTATGTACCCCAGGGAGGATTCCATCACCTTCGCTGGGTTCCCTACTATGGGGTTAAGAACTGATTTGGAGGGCCGGCCCCGTGGCTTAGTGGTTAAGTGCGCGTGCTCCGCTACTGGCGGCCCAGGTTCGGATGCCGGGCGAGCACAGACGCACTGCTTCTCCGGCCATGCTGAGGCCATGTCCCACATACAGCAACTAGAAGGATGTGCAGCTATGACATACAACTATCTACTGGGGCTTTGGGGGACAAATAAATAAATAAAAAATTAAAAAAAAAAAAAAAGAAAGAACTGATTTGGAGATGAGGATGACACTTAGTTAAAACCATCTGCAATTAACTCAGGCACACAGCCCTTTAGGCACAAGCCCCTGTGATGAGCACTTCAGGGTCCAGCCCAGCTGTCTCGACTCAGGTGTCCACTGTATTGTAGAAGTCTGTACTCTGAGAAATAAAGATTTTTCAGCCACGTGAATAGCTGCAGTGGGAGCCTGATGGCTCCATGCGTCAGCGCACACGGCAGCAAGTGTAGTTATTACACACCTACTGCTGAGCTGCCTGTGGAAAAATCTCCTTCCCAGGCCACCTGCTACACCTAACCCCTCTGAGCTATTTGGCAGTAGAGACCAGGTGTGAACACAACTCATCACCATAAAAATTACTCAATCTCATATAAGTAATTACCTCAATAAACAACCCCAAAGTCCCTTTAGCCAGATAGTATAATAGAGAGTAAACTAACAGATATAGATGGATCAGTGAGATATAGGATTCTATCTGGAGATTAACTTGTGTTACAGCAAAAGGGCATGGGTTTTGTATTCAGACTTCCAGCTCCCCTGCTTACCAGCTAAGTGGCCTTGGGCAGGTTCCTTAACCTTTCTAAGGCTGAATTTTTCATGTTTAAATTGAGGAAAATAACACCCCTGCCTGTCAGGGTTGTTGTGTGATCCAAAAGATAATGCACATAAAAGCACTTTGCAAATAGCAAAGTATTATGTAATAATGAGTTATTAGAATTCAATCTTCTAGCAGGGTACCACGGCATCCTTTCATCTCTCCTACCTCCCAAATGTCCTCTCCTTTGCAAACCTCAAAGCATTCAGTGTGGAGTGGGTTGAGCATGTGTGCGCGTGCACACACACACACACACACACACACAGTGTACACGTGTGTCCTTGCATGTCAATACAATGCTGCAGCTACACAAGACCCATCACATCGCCATGTCCTAGATGCTGACAAGAAAGCACCAGCTCTACTAAGCTTTCACTGGTAACAGAGAAGTGAAACCAAAAAGCCTAAGACCCAGGTTCTCCCTTAAGCATGGCAGAAATTAAAAACAATTTCTGGTAATTCTTGGTAATTCACAATACGGGAGTAAGAAAGTAGGAGATACATGGAACTGACCATACAAATAAGAACTAGGAATAAATAGAATTGGCAGGAGATTAGGGAGCTGGGGCAGGACTGTGGAGGCCATCTAGTCCTGATTCCACAGATAAAATTGAGCCTGAGAAAGAAGTAACTGGTCCAGGATGACACAGGAGCAGAGCCGGCACAGGAGCCTGGGTCTTCTTTCCCAGTGCCGTACTGCTTGAGGTATAATCAGCCATTCATATTCCAAATCCATTTGGCTCCCATACCTCTGAACTAACCAAGTGATAATAATAGTAAGTCCAAAAGGAACTTACCCAAAAAACTTTTCTCGGCCGCAGACGCTGGGCCCAATAAAGGCGCCAAAGAACAGTATCCACTTCATGTCCCAAGGTTGTCAGTCATAGAGTGGCTGAGTCAAGCTGTATTTATAAAGAGTCTGAGGTAGACTCACGTCCTCAAAAATGCTAATGTGATTCCCAAGCACCCTTGCAATTCTGACGGTACGTCAGGTGGGTGCCTGCCTATGCCTCTTCCATTCCTTTTGAGTGATAAAGCCCAAGCCTCTTGACTTACAAGGTCAGGAACTTGCTCTTCATGCTGGAAAAGTCTGTGCCAAGGGTGCCATATTGCTCATCACTTGGTATTTAAATAGCGTTTTTTGAGTAAATAGGAAAGTCCCAGGATAGGAGAGGCCAGACTGTAAACATGGGATGGAGTTACCTCTAGAGTTAAAAAAAGTGAAGACTATCAAAGAAACCACAAGCCAACTCTAAGGCCACACACTTCACAAGCCCTCTCAGAGAATTTCACCAGGGCAGGTCATAATGATGAGAGTTTGTGGCCTCTGTTTTGAATCTGACACCTAATTCCCATGACTCCACTAAGAAAGTAGAAATACATGAGGTAAATGGTATAAGAAGAATACGTTAGTCTGAATAAATTATCTGTTTTCCTTGGTGTCTGAGCTAAAGGTAAGGCTTAATGATATTATTAATAATAATACTTTCTTACATTTGCTAGACTCTGAATCTGCTGTCCTGTCCACCAAGCCACAACAGAATAAATGGAAGACACTCATGATCTCCACGACTTCTTCAGGGACTCTGAGGCCTTGAGTCTGTCCTGGGAGCCCCAAATCCTACAAGCCTCCCCCATTCCACTGTCCTTATGGTCTACATTCTTTCTGCACTTGCTCAAGGGGAGTGGATACAACCAAGAGTCATAGGTGGGAGTGTTAAAGAAAAATTATTCAGACACATTAAACTGTAAGGAAGACTTCATTCAGGATTATCACAATAGGAGTCATGCAACAAGAGAGAGTACATAATTGTGTTCAACTCTGAATACAGTAAAGACAGCACAGTGAGGGGTCAGCAGATAGAAAACTGCCAAGAGGAGGCATCAAGGATAGGGAAGTTTCTTGCTTAACTGGCCTAACTGGATTCTTGCTAAAGTCAGGCCAAGGATATAGACATAAAAAGTGGAGGATGACGAACTTGATCAGATATCAAGAATTAGGGGATGACTTAGCAGGATTCTTTGCCAAGCCTGATTTAGACAGGGCCCAAAGACAAGGCCTAGTCAAAAAGAGGGCTCAGAGAAACCTGTCTAAGGTTTGGTCAAGGAGAGTCTTTGTCAGGAGTTGTGGAGGTGGGGGCCTCTATCAGAGCTCTTTTGCGCTTCCAACGCTGAAACTGAACTCCTATGCCCACTCTGGTCCATCACAAAGGTTGGGCTCTACTTCACCAAGATAGAATTCAGCTTTGAAATTAGTAACAAGAAAAGCTGAGATCTGAATCTGCAAGAAATGTAAACTAAAGAATCAAGTACCTGGAATTCTAGGCAAGCTAAAATTCACTTCCCACCCTTTTCTCCCAGGGAAAACCATCAACAAAATCTAAATCCCTAATAGAAGTGAATGTCTACAGAGAAATTATATGGAATCTGAGACCCAGCCTTGATGGGACACCTAGGAGGAAGCAGTGTCACTGGTTTGGGTCCCCACCAGTTTTTCTAATGCAGCATACCAGAAATGGAGAAGCAAAAGGCAACAATGGAACCAGAGGATACAGCACCTAGCACAATGCTTGGCACAATGTAGTTGCTTAATTAGGATTTATTGAATAAATGAACTCAAAAGTCCCCTTCTAGCTCTTAAATGCTACTCTATTAAGGTGAAGGAGCTGACACATGCCACAACATGGAAGAATACTGAAAACATTATGCTAAGGAAAATAAGCCAGTCACAAAAATACAAGTACTATATGATTCCATTTATATGTGGCACCTAGAATAGGCAAATGCATAGAGACAGAAAGTAGCACAGGGGTTACCAGGGGCTGGAGGGAGGGAGAATGGGGAGTTAGTGTTTAATGGGTACAGTTTCAGTTTGGGATGATGAAAAAGTTCTGGAGATGGATGGTGGTGATGAGTGCACAACACTGTGAATTTACTTAATGCCACTGAATTATACACTTAAAAATAGTTAAAATGGTAAATTTTATGATACGTATATTTTATCACAGTTTTTAAAAAAAATTTTAAAGGATGTTGGGAGCATTTTGCTAAGGATGGAGTAAAAAAAAATGATGAAGGGGTACAACTCAGTGGCTTGCTGTGTTTTAGGGCAACAAAAATTGAAAACATAATGCTCCTAGATCAAAATTAGAAAAAGAAATAATCACAACCTAACTTTGCTTCAACCCAAAGAACTTTTAATGGTATTTGTTGCTCAGAGCCCTAATAGGAGTGGTCTCACACATGCTCCAAGATTGTCTTCAAGCCAAGCCAGGTTTCTTCAGCTGTAGGCAAGATCTAATTGGCCAGCAAGAGGAAGCCATATCGACCTGTGCCTCTTAGTTCAAAGGCAAATGAGTATTTGATGCCAAAGTCATAAGACTAGTCAATGCTTCCTCCACCGGCTTGGTCTGAAGGGTAAATGTGAAAAAAGTCTGGTTGTGCTATTCCCACTGGCCTCTCACAGCTATATAACCTCTAGATTAAGTTCCACCATTATCAAGGATAAGTTAGGCCCCTATCTGCATGGACCTTGAGAGCAGGGATGGGTTAGTAGGGGGTCGTGCTGATGAAAAAATACAAGATTAATTTGAAAAGCAAAACGTGTTATTCAAATGGACACTATACTTAGCCTTCCTTTGGTGTCCTTAGGATCCTCTGGCTTCACTCACCCATTTGGAATCCTGCCTGCTCTCCTAATCGGCATCTTCTGCACCTTAGGGAGGCCACATCACTTCCTTCTTTAGACAAGTGCCAGGTGTAGATATTGTTTTCTCTGGTGGGAGAGGAGGGATTACAAATAGAGTAAGAGATTTGGTCCCTGCCCTCAGGGGACTTTCAGTATAAGGGTGAAGCAGGCTTTGTTCTGATGTCAAATAACATGCCCAGCACCTATAAGTGTTGGGTTAAACCAATAGAGTAACGTGCACCTGTATAACACGTGGCCACTGACGTGACAGATGATGAAGGAGGGTAGCATTAGCCTACAAAGACTTGTAGGCAATCATGACTCAGAAGAGCTGAGCAATGGACCAGCTCTGAGGCCCCTCCCAGGGAGGGCAGGTAGTGGTCAAATGGAGGAGATCGCTGGGGCAGAGATGGAGAAGTCACCTAGTTCCTAAGAACGGAGCTGGGCAAAGGGGAAGACTAGGGAAGTTGTACCAGGAAGGAGTAGGACTAGTGGTTAATATTGTGAATTAACACTATGAACTCCTGTGGCTTGTGTTTTTGCCTTCACCCACAGCAGCTACGGTAGTGCCTGGTAAATAACAAACACCAAATGGTTTGCTGACTTAAACTGAATCTTCCTAGGGACCAAAATTACTAACTTACACCTTTGGTGTGGCTACACAACACAGCTGATCCCACTAGGAGGTCCATAGTAGACAGAATACTTCAGATTGAATCCTGATTCTGCAAATCATTAGTTAGGTGACCGAAGGCAGGTTGCTTACCTCTCCAAGTCCCAAATGTTTCATCCATCAAATAGGGATAATACTACTACTTATTTCACAGAGTACTGAGAATTAAATGGGATAATATAATGTTTATGATTCCAACATTTGTTGAGTGCTTACTAAATGTATTAGGCTCTATGCTAAATTGCTTCATTTTAATCCCCACCTGGGTAATGAGGTAGATACTAGTATTATTCCCACTTTACAGATGAAGAAACTGAAGTTCTGAGAGATTAAATGAAGGAGCTGGGATAATGAATGTAGAGTAGGCATTCGAAACATGTCGGTTGTGATTATAACTATCATTATCAATAAATGACGAGGATCCTATGAAAAAAGTTGGACCACATTAAGGATCAGAGGTATCTGGAGGAGAGTAGTTCACCAGGAAACTAACAAGCAACATTTACTTGTGCCTTAGAGTTAGTGAACACTTTTATTCTACATTTTATCTTTTGAGCCTCTGGACAACCCATTTCATAGATGAAGAAATCAAGGGAGGATGAGTTCAAAGGGCCACGTATCCCAAAGCCTACAGGACATCTCTACTTGCATACGTTCCAATTATCTCAACTTCAATATGACCAGAACTGAACTCATTATTTTTTCAACCCCACCCCTCTTTCACCTTCCTGGATCACTCCCTCAATTAATGGCACCATTCAATGACCTTCAGTGAGAAACACTCCACATGCAATAAATGACAAAAGGCTTTGCTTTTACCTCCCTTCCGTCCTCCCTGGCAATGTTCCAGTTTAGGCCATCATCTCTCACTTGAACCCTTCCTACTCTCCCTGTGGGATGTTCGTACTTCCAGTCCACCATCACTCCATCCTGCTGATGCATTTTGTCTAAATACAGTGCCTTAACGTATTCACTGCCCTGCTGAAAACTCTCCAATGGCTTCCAGAATCCTTTGGGTTAAAACCTAAACTCCTTAACATGGCACACAAAAACCCGAACTCCCCCACTCCCCTTCTTACCACTTTCATTCCAGTAGTCCAAAACCTCCTGTAGTTCCCAGAGCCCATCATGCAGTTTCATGCTCCTACATCTTTGCATGTACTGTTAACTAACCAGAATGCCCCATTTTCCCTTTCTCTAGCTTTCTGGTGACCAATCTTCAAAATCCTGCCCTCTTCCTATATGAAGCTTTTCCTGACTGTGCCACTGCCAAGTCCCCCCAACTTTTGAATACTTTTGTACTATGTATAGCCTACTATTGCACATATCATACTAAAGTTCATTTGTCTTTCTGTTCATCTCCCATATTAAACAGTGAGTTCTCTGTGTTTGAACAGTGCGTTCATTACATCTCCAGTACTTGGCATAATGATCAGCACATTGTAGATGCTTAATAAAAGTGTGCTGAACAGAGTGGGTGCCTATAAGAGGCATTTGTTTCCAAAGGATCCTCAGGCATGGAAGCACTACGGAACTCCTGGGCATTCAACTATGGGGTCCTGAGTTTCTGTCTCTGTCCATAAAGAAGTGGGGGGATTCCTCTAAGGGACTCAGAATCTGCATGAGGGTGCACTAGGATTTCCCACAGCACTGAAGTCATCTCTTGTTTTCATCCCGATCCACTGTGGGAGAGGGGAGTCTCAGAAAGTCTGACAGCAGACTCCCCAGACTTATTCCTGACACTGCCAGTGTCCCCGACTTGTCTTCCTCTTTGTCTCCCCAAACTCTGCATGGACAAACGGCTGCAAAAGAGTCTATCCACTGAATCATCTGGGTCCTCTTAAAGAGTCGCATCTAGGGCCAGCCCCGTGGCTTAGTGGTTAAGTGAGCGCGCTCCACTGCTGGCGACCCGCGTTCGGATCCCGGGCTCACACCGACGCACTGCTTCTCCGGCCATGCTGAGGCCGCGTCCCACATACAGCAACTAGAAGGATGTGCAGCTATGACACACAACTATCTACTGGGGCTTTGGGGGGAAAAAATAAATAAATAAAATCTTTAAAAAAAAAAAAAAAGAGTCGCATCTATTCTGTCCCCACGCACAGTCCATGGGATTACTCAGAGTATAAGCCTTTCTTAGCTGGGAAAGGAAAAATTAATAAAAGTGTATGACTTAGGACCAGGTCTTGTTAAAGGCCCATTTTCAGGCAAAGAGATTGCACTTAATGAGAGTGAACTGTAAGGATCGGGACAAGCAGAGGGGAGAGCACACAACTCAAATATTTAGGAAATTCTTTGTTCTAGGTATCACATAGTAGGTATCTCATGGAGGAGATCTAGCCTTACTGAGGGAAATTGGGTAAGGCTGGGTTCCCTGCGTGAAGGTTCCATGCCTTTCACATCGGGGCACTTAAAGGCTTTGGCCCAAAGTCACATAGTGCCTGCCATGTTAGTGGGTCATTTGTAAAACACATTAGATACTTACAGATGACTGAGCAGATAGGTCCCACTTGATACTTGGTGCCATGCAGGCTTCTCACAGGTTGAGCAGCCTTTTGGGCCACTTCATTCTAGAATGAGAAAACCAAGGAAAGGTGGATGGATAATATTCGTCTCTTGGGAGAATAGATGCAGAATGAGATAGTCTGATTAATTGGACTCTCTGGTTAGTTGAGACTTAAGCACAACACCCTCCTTATTTCAACCATTTTCACTGAGAAATAAGCACAAGTTCACTTCTGTTGGCTTTGAAAATATAACATGAAGACCCTCAGTGCTTATTTGATCACCCAGGTATTTGCAATAAATACCCCAGGGTCATTATTTTGCTCCCAGCTCTCCTTGTTCAGGGATGTGGCTGGAAATAAGGTAGGAGTAAGGGGCTAAAGAGAGTGTGTACTGACCCCAGGATGTACCCGGGAAATTCATTTTTTTTTTTTACTAGATCCCTACATTGGCTTATTTCCTTATGATTGTCTCTTTTTCCAAGAAGCAGAGCTCAGCAAAATATTTTCCATTATTTGAGGGTTCCAATTTTGACTGATTGAGGCTTTACTGTCCTTGCTAGGGATAAATGTAAGATCTTGAACTTGGGTCCAGGAAAACAACTGTACAATTACCAGATGGGGGGAAACCTGGCTCGGTAGAATCCTCAGAGAGCCTGGGGGTTTCAGTTGTCAATGAGCCCAATATGAGTCAACGGCCCAGAACAACTGCCAAAAAACTAATGTGACCCTCAACTGCATAAGCAGAAGTGCACAGTCTGGATGAGGGCAGTCATGGTCACGCTCTGCTCTGTGCTGGTTAACCCACAATACAAGTTTTACATTCACTTCTGGGAGCACCCCTTGAAGAACACAGACAAACTAAAGCATGCCTTGGAAAATAGCAACCAGAATGGTGAGGGAACTTGGGACCATATTATGCGTGCTTGAAGGAACTGGGGGTGTTCAGTGGGGATAAGGAAAAACCTAAGAGAAGCAGGCTACTGGTCTTCAAGTAATTAATGGATTTTCCCTCTCAAGGGGAAATAAATTTGCTCTTTGGAGTAAGACGATACACCAGGACTGGTAGGTAAAAACCATAGGAGTAAGTTTTGGCTCTCTATAAGGAAGAACTCAAACAAGTCAAACCTGCCCCAACATGCAATAGGCTCTTTTGGAGGCAAGAATCTGTCCAATCATAGGCCGGATGACTATCTGGCAGAGATCTGAGCACCAGGTTGGATAATTTAAGGTTATCTAGGTCTACTAAAAGTTAGGTTCTTCCAACCCTGATATTCTTGTTCCCCCCATTCGACCTTGAGTGGTAATATCCACCATCAAAACCCTGAAAATTGCCCTACAGGCCTAAAATACAACTGATGAGATGAAAGATACACCTGAATTGGAATAATCTATTCCATTTCTGCTGGGGGCTACCGACAATCATCTATTTGAAAGTAAAGTGACTGAAAGGTTCCATCTCAGGACTTATCTCTAATATATGGGTTTCAAAAACCAAGCCTAAAAGCCAAATTGGAAATAAATGGACATTCTCTTCAGCTGGGATAGGTCTTGCTCAATTGTAAGCAGCCCCCTGAGATGTCACTATCCGACTTAAGGCTGCCACCAGTTTGCTCATTCCTGAAATAGGAAAGATGATGGAAGGTATCAAGTTAGGAAAGTGAGTGTCTTACACCAAATATCATACCAGTGCATCATGACAGCAGGTCACAGAGCTGAAGGCACCAGGAAGGTATTAAGGAGCTGGGAGACCGCATTGCTTAGCATAGAGCATCTGACTACAGAACCAAGAGCCTCAGGTCCAAATCCAAGTGGTTATTTCCTAAGCAACATAAAGCACATCCTGGGAATTTATGGTCAAATCAGGTTCCTGCTCATATAGATTAGGGCAATAATAATTTCATGAATTCTATTTCCCAAGAAAACTTAATTTCAGGAAGTCCATAACCAGTCTTTCAAACTTTTGCCTGCATCACAATCTTCTCAGTGGCTGGACATGTTATGTATATGTATATCTTTGTAACCTGTCACTAGTACACTCCCATCTCAGTACCTAGCTTTATGACGAAACTTTCTTGTCCACCCAATGGATGCTGTGGCTGAGCTGAAATGAAGTTTCAGAAATTTACCAGCTCATTAAAGTTATCTGACTTGGTACATGCATACCCATACGGGAATATTAGCAGCTGGGAATAGCTATGAAAGGTAATGAAGGCCTTGAAGTTTCCTTGCCTCTTGATAAAGTCCACTATGGATTTCACTTCAACTTCAGAGTTGGCACTGGGTCTGTGGTATGAATCGGAGCAGGGGTTGTTGCTGACTCCAGGTCCTGATGGGATGCAGAAGAAGCCCAGTGAGAACAGAGAGCTTTAAGGAGACACTGTATGGGGGCGGTTACCACGCATCACTAAGTTCCTCCTCTGGAAATCAGAGCAAGATTGTCACGGTGTTAGATGGAGTCAATACTTAAGGGCATAGTTGGGGAAGCCTAACTGAAGTGATTCTGCACACATATCTCTTCTTTAAAAATATGGCTCCTCTATATGGCAGAAAGAGCTATCAAATTAGATCATCTCTTCTCTGTGGGAGATGTTGGAAGAAAAGCTAGATTTAATATTATAGATGGAATTCCTGCACTGGGTGGGAGTTGAGCAAGCTCATTTTCTGGGATCTCTTCCAATTCTTAGAGCCCAAGAGTGGAAGAGTCTATGCATCTGTACTTTTAAGCCATAAACCTACAAATGAAAGGAACCTCTAACACCCTTTCTGCGGTGAGGAAATCACAACTACATTTGACAACAAGGCCACCTTTGGCTTTGATTTTCTCAGCAACTAGAGTTACTCTTGACCACTAAGGTAGGTCTACTGTGGCCTGACCAGGGCTCTGAATGCTAGAGAAACTCTGAGGGGACAGTTGGGGGCTGGGACTGCCCAGGGTCTCTAAATGATATGGACAAAGTATAAATACAACCTGTCACCTTATTTTAAGATTATTTAATAAGAACAATATTTCAGGAAAAAACTGACATTGAATTGCTGGGCATTGTTCAATATTTAAGATCTGATGCTTTGATTTTTTTTCCTACACTAAAAAAATAAAACCCATTGTAAAAGCAATGAATGAAGTTGCCACTCATCCATATCTTGTCAAAATTCCCAAGTATGTCCTTTCTTGGCTCAATGACTCTCATTAATTCATTTGTCTTACAAATATTAACGATTGCCTTCTGTGTTCCAGACACCGTGCTAGGTGTTAGGAATACTAGAGTGATAAAGACAGTTTCTAACCTCACTGTTACCACACCTAATGAGGAAAAACCAAACAAATTCCAATCCTGTGATTAGAGAAACACAAGAGGTTTTAACTGGTGCCTGAAAGCAGAAAGGAGCCCCCAACCAGCCTACCACTGAACTCTGAAAAATCAGAGCCGCAAATCAGCAAAGCCAGAGCAGCAAGCTAATATTTTCTCTTTGACTCTATTTTGAAAAGCAATTTTTTAATCCTATTTGTACTTCTTTTTAGTTTTCTTTCTCGAAGCATCCATAGATGATGTAATGCTTCTTCTCTGAATAGATCCTTACCCCCTCTAGTGGTTAGTTCAGGGCTTCCTGAGGCCTCCCGCCATTGTGTGCAGTCTTGCTCTGGAAGCTCAGCAGCCGAGCTGGGGCTACGGCTTGTGGGAAAACCAAGATGTGAGACAAAATATATTAAATGCTGTTCAGAGCTCTGTGACAGCACTGCGCGCCTGTGAAGGGAATTTAGTTAAGTGTTTTTCAAACGGGTTTTTCAATGGCTTCAATCCTGAACGGGCTTAGCAGGCTGATAGTACTGCAGCAGAGCCATGCAAAATAGCTAGCTGGCCAGACAACATCTGAGCATCTCTGGGGGCAAGTCCCTGCGCTCACCTCTAAAACCTGCGTCCCAGTTCCGGTTCAGATCAACACCGACACAGGGGCTGCCAGATACCTTGGACCGGGTCTTGTGCCACACACGATTCTTTAAAATTCAACCAAGAGAGAATACAGAAAAGAGAAAGACAGTCATTCAGCCTGATGAGAAAGTCTCTTTAGAATGCTGTTAATCTCCCTTGCTCTCTCCCAGGAAGGCCCCTTTGGAATTGCACTAATTTCCCTTGCCCGAGGAGGTGTCGAATAGTCCTCATAAGGGGTTCTGCTTGGAGCTTCTTGGTTGTCTCACCGAGGCAAGAGGTAGATAGTCTCCTGCCTCCTCAAACAAATACCTGCCAAACCACATTCCTTAGAACACTAGTTTTGTTTTGTTTTGTTTTTGTGAGGAGGACTAGCCCTGAGCTAACATCTGATGCCAATCCTCCCCTTTCTTCTTGAGGAAGATTGGCCCTGGGCTAACATCCGTGCCCATCTTCCTCCACTTTATACAGGATGCCACCACAGCATGGCTTGACAAGCGGTGCGTCTGTGCGCGCCCGGGATCCGAACCTGCGAACCTGGGCCGCAGCGGAGCACATGCGCTTAACCGCTTGCGCCACCGGGCCGGCCCCAGAACACTAGTTCTGTTAAATGTTGACAACAACAACAAAAAACAAAACAAAAAGTGGGGAGCAAAGGTTCTGTGATAGAATGTTTTGGGAAAATATAGGACTAAATTGGCTAATTTACTTCAGAACTTCCAAGAGTCTTTTAATGCCTTAATGTTTTTTATGAACCTCCAAGAAAGCAATACTGTGGGCGGTATTTCCCAAACTTGATCGTGGAACCCTTTATTCATAGGGTATCTCACAAGATGAGTACTAGTATTTGTACGAGTCCCTTTTGAACACACGTTGAAAAACACTATCGTAGTCAGCTCTCTCCAAAAACAAACTCAAAGCTTTGATTCATTCTGACTATACATGGGGTCACTGTCGCCATAACAGTGTTTTGTAGTGAGATTTTAAAGAAAAAAAAGACAACATCACTCCTTTTAGTGATATTACAGAGGATTTCTTCTACAGGTTGTAAGTAAAATGCTAGAGGCATTGTACTGCGTACCTAAATCCTACTGCAATCTAACTGCCAGCAGGTAACATCCACCTCCTCTTTTCTATCAGTCCTACCACAAAAACAGAGATAATTGGAACAAATCTCCTAGGTAACTCACAGTGAACACTGAGCTCTAATAGCCCAGCCTAACAGCTGAAATGGGCTCTGACCGAGGCAATAGGTACAGACATCGTGTGCTAGAACAAGAAGTGATTATAAACTCCACCATATGCCTCAATACAGGGCCACTACTGAGAAATCAGGCATTCTGTTTAGAGTAAATCAAGAACAGAAAGATTACTTTTATTTTGTTTTTGAAGTTCCTACACATCTCCTTAGATCCTTGTTGAAGAAGAGAACAAGTCCCGGGTTCCTTTAGTTTGAGAGAACACATATCCATCAGGGTTTGTGACTGGCAGCAGGAAGATATCCACCATGTCCAAAATGGAAGTGATGGATGGACCATTTCCATAATCAGAAGCAATCTGAGCAGAGACAACAACATGTACGTCAAGTTCATACTCCTTTTTCGTCAGGGACCACAGGATAGAATATTAAGGCAATGTGTTTTTTCTAAACATGAACTAGATATCAGTGCTGGTCATTGATAGTCTCTTAGGACTCCTGTCCGATCTCCTGCAATATTAATGTGTTTAATATGCCAGAGTCTATACTTTTATTTCCAGTCAGAATAATTTACTTATATTTAAAAAAAAAAAAAAAACCACAGCTATCATTTATCCATTCTCTCTCAAAAGCAGAATTCTTATTAATTCTGGTGGGGCATTTTGCAATGGTGGGCAATAGTCTATGTGGCTTATAGGGATCTATGGACCAAAGAAATTTTTTTCAGTTTTCCTTAATCACCACACAGGCTAGCTTTCCAAAAGTAGTCATGACCAACATCCGATTACTTAAATATTCAGAGACTTTTCTAAAGAGACAGAGAAGTTAAACTCCATTTGGTGAATTAAATTTCTACTTGTGATCAATTGCAGTAGAGTTGAAGTTTCTGGTGGATTAAAATTTATTCATTTCCTGTGCTCAGCCATCCTAAGGCATTATTATTCAACTGTTAAATATCCATTTCATAATACCCTAAAGGTAACCGCATTTTAATTGAACGGAAAAATGTATCAGTCGATATGCACGTGGTTGCACATGCTTGAATGATCTGATGTGGATTGATTTCCTTTGCTCATGAATTAACATTCTGATTTATAGCATGTCATTTTTGAATTACTTAAGAACTACTAGACTAGGTCACACCCAGCCCAGTGTCCTGACTCTAATTCCAACAAACATGTGGAAGAGACGTATTGCTACACCCTGACTTCAAAATCATATTTGGAAAATTTTCAGAATAACCCCAAACCCTTAACTACTTCCACTTTGGATCTGTAGGTCAAAGTAAACTCTTCCATCACCTGTTTATATTTTCCAGGTGAGCCTCTTTCAAAATTTTATAGATTTCATAGATTTTTATAGATTTTGTAGATTTCTAGCCCTCAGAGTACCAGGCACCAAAGCAATTTTTCTCTAGTCTGTTCTTATGTTGAAACTTGACTCCCAGGGTCCAAACTCACCACCTTCTGAATTTCTTCTACCTCGCTGTCTTTTAAGAGAGCACACAGTGGCCGGCCCCCGAGAAGAGTGCCAGGATGCTGGATGGGGCAATACCAAAAAAAGGTGGAATGGGTCTTTTTCCTGCCTGTGTGCCAAAAGAAGGGCTTGGGCTGCTAGCATCAGCCGTTAGGATCACAGGAACTGTGTGTGGTTAGGTGCGGCCTCACACCAGAAAGACAAGGAATTTCAGCCAAAATGACCTTATTTGCTGTCCACAGTGCAACAGCTTGTGTAACCCACTCTCGAGCATGCATTCCGGTGTCTAGCCAGATGGCTGGCTTGTCTCCTCCAGTGCTGAGCTGCAAAACAAGCATGGAAATGGGAACGGCTCCACTGCTGCAGGACCCTCCACCCCTATCTTTTCCCTGGGGTCTCATCTGTCCCTCTTTAGATGTACTTCATGTGACTGAGAGAGAAGGAGGAGGTGTAGACAGTGATGCTGCCGATTAACTCTTCTCATCTAAAGTGATTTTTTCATCCCTTCCTTTTGATGTAAGCTTAAATGCAGGCTAACAAGAGGGGGACAGACTTTTTCTCCTTTGAAGTTTGTAAAAGCTTGTTGCAGATAATGTAATGACATGAAAATATGTTTATCATATGCTGTAAATTTTAAAAAACAGGTTACAGAATAGTATGATGCCATTTTTATTTTTTAAAAAGGCTAGTTCATGTGTATGTATATATATGTACACACAAACATATGACAAAAAGGGAGAACGGGAGGAAAAGAAAAGAGAGAAAGAAAGAGAAAGATATACAACAAAATGTTAATATACATTATCCCATAGTTGTGGAATTAGAATTATATGGATTTTTTCCTTTTTCTTCTTTTTTCAGTTTGTTTCTCTATTTTCTAATTTTATGCAATGATTGTGTTATTTTTGTAGTAAAAATGCTTGTGATAACCTTTTGAGTCCATAAAAAAGGATGGTAGGCTCTGGAGGTGCTTTCCAGAGTTTAAATTTTATGATCTAAGTGACTCAGTTTTATTTGGAACAGTGGCTTTGCCACTTGGATCAGTAAATGGGGAGGAAAAGATTATTTTTGCACTATCAGCTTCTACCTCTGTGTAGCATTCTAAACATAGCAGATAAGGTAAATGAGAAATGCAAATCCTTGCAAAAAATTACATTTCACAGGGTTTTGAAAGTTTTAGTTGAAAGTGTTTTGTGCCTTTTCCTTCACAGAGCTCAAATGTAAAAAGCAGGGAACTTGCAAAAAAACATAACATTCTCAACCACCAAACCACCCTGGAGAAGGGAAGACCAGGAAAATCCAAGGGGGAGAAGAATCTGGGGTTTCCTGACCCAGTTGTAGGAGAAACAGGAAAGAGGAAATTAAAAAAAAAAAAAAACCCAAGGACAAAGTAGTAAATATTAGCAAATGTACCCCAGTGTCATAAAGTAGGCAAACCACTCCTCCCAGGCCTGCTTTGGGAAAAACGCTCTGGAGAAATCCATCTGTCCCAATGAGTCTGCTGGTTCTCAGCCATAACGCTTCCAAATTTAGCAGGGAGTTGTGACATTATCGCTCCTTTTTTTTTTTCTTAACAAACTCTTTCTAGGAAATCCGGGGAAATAATTTTCACTCGTCTTTTTTCAGGGCAAGGTGAAAAAGCTTGAAATTATCAGCACTAAGACTGTTAGACGTTACAGGTTGGAATAAAACCCTACCCTTTTTCAGCTAGCACCTAAAAACTACCTTCCTTTCTGGGCATTTGCCTTTGCGGTTTGGTTTAGCTGTCCGGCTTCCTTCTGCACACTGCAAGAACTCTTCTTTTTTTTAAGCGCGGCTCAGGCAAGTACTTGGAGCTTTTTTTCTTTTTTTAATCTCTTGGTTAAAAGAAAAAAAGAAGAAAGAAAAGATGAAAAAAAGAGAACTCCTACCTTGATTAACTACAGAACACCTCCCCCAACCCCCCCCCAATCTTGGGGCCCGCACCACCTCCCGCATCGGCCCCCCCCAACTCTGGGGCCCACGCCACCTCCCCCACCCTCCTCACCCTGCGGCCTGCACCACCTCCCGCATCGCCCCCTACTTCTCCCATCCCCCTCCTCACCGGGGCCAGCACCACCTCCCCCTTCCTTTGCTCCTATTGGCGCCTTCGCAGCCGGTACCCTGAGAGCGAATCTATCAAGATGAGAGCATTAATTCACTCCTGCAGACCTGCGTCAGATTGCGCAGGAGAAAGAAAAAGAAAGGGGGGGTGGGCGCAGTGGGGAGGTGGATACTGAAAACCAGCAAAGACCGGTTAGGAATGGGAAAAAAATGAAGCGCTCTTCCGGCAGAGCCGGGACTGACAGTCGGCCTGGGAAGAGCGGGATTCTAGAAGCATCGGGAGGAAAAACAACAGCTGCACCTGTGTACCTTGAGCACGTTCAGGGGCCAGTTTTCGAAAGAATGGCCAATATTCACTTTGCTCACTAGACCAGGGTGCTCAGCAACGAGGTGATCCAATTCTTGGGAAATCTTAAATGTTTACAAAGAACAAATAGACATCTGCAAATGAATAATCTGATGCATCCATTAGTCACTTTCTTTCTCCTCCATTTCCATTCCCTCAGGACAAAGTGGAGAGGGCCGCGTGGCAGATGCTGCAGGATTGGGGACGTTTGAATCAAAGCTGAAACGTGATGAGTCACTGGGCATCTGCAGGGGCTGGAAAGGGGGAAGCCATTTTGCAGCAGCGGAGCCGGCTCTTTCCAGTTTTATGCTTAAAACAAAATGGCACTTCTCCGGCTTGCCTGTGGCTGTCCTCAGCCCAGCTCTCAGGTGGAACTTCCCAGCCAGGAAGATTCTCTCCCTGACTAGCGGAAGGAACACAGGTGGTGATGACACCAAAAAAAAGGCGGATTTAGAGATAGACGCTGCAAAACGCAGCAGGGCTAGTTCAGGCCCGGCAACCGGGGGCATGCCTCAGATGCACCTCCATCACCAGTTAGTCGGGCGCCTATGTGCAAGGCTGATTGAAATTCTGCGCGGCTGGGACACCCAAGCTGTGTCCATTGCTGGGATTGAGACATGTCTGGGCGTGGCCTGGAGAGTCAACGGCATGAAAACAGCTTCTCCAGCTGTTGCTAGCATTTGCTCTCCGTGGGACGCAGACACCAATTTGTGAGGCCCGGCAAAGGAGAAAGAGAGGGCGCGTGCATCTTATTTTCTTTACTCCCTTTTCTCCCTCACCCTTGTACTGGTCCACAATCTCTTATCTGAAACTCTTAGGGGGCCATACATATTTAAAATTAAGATTTTTTTTTCCTTGTAATTTTAGAAAGGTAGGAAGCATATATTGTATATTACACATGTGGCATTGCTCCATATTCAAATACATTAATAATTCTGGCAGTGAAACAAATGAGTAGCAACTCAGTTCAGGTCAGATTTTGCCCCAAAATGAGTTTAGGTCAGGTCAGGTTTTGCCACCAAATACATTAGGGGGGAAGAATTGTTTTCCGAGTTCTTTGCATTTTAGAATTCCTGGTATGGGGAATCAGTATCTACCAGATACCTCCTCTCTGGCTCTTTCCTACTCTCCCACCTCTCCCCCTTAACACCCCATCCCTTTTCCCTCCTGACTGCCCTCCACCCCCCAATCAGTTAATGCAGATAGACCCCTGTGGGCCCCAAGAAAATCTGTCACAGATAGGCAAATGCAGCACTGCTCAGGTGCCCAGATGGCAGTGTGTGACCCAGGTGGAGGAAGGGGGCATTCTTCACACCAACAAAAGGGAGGAAAGACAGCAGACTGCACAAGACTTTGCTACCATGAGGTCTGAGAGCACTGGGCAGGTTGGGAGACCCCACCCTTGGCTGGAAGTCAGAGGTGTCAAGGTGTTCCCTGATTTCTTCATCAGTGGCAGCCATGAAGCATATCTCATAAATGGCTCTATGGGCAGCACAGGTCAGAAATCAGCAAGGGCGCCTTGAGTAGAGAGTATGAGCATGGGAGGCTGTTTGTGTGCTCACTTAAGACGCCCCTGGACACCTCCAAAATAATGGGATGACTGCTGGGATGAGCAGGTGGGCTTCAGGTCCTGCCTTAAGGCAGTGACACTGATACTGGCTGTGCAATCCTAGGGAAACGGAGAAGTTAGGAAATAATATGAGAATAATTTCCATTAAATTGCCAGGTGGAAGTATAGGCCTTGTCATCAGAGAAGAGAATGGCCCATTTCCCTGATGGTCATTTTGAAACACCTACCTCTTCCAAGGTATGATAAGCCTCAGAGTTGAAGTTACCATTCCATTCTCTTCTCTGATTAAATAACATTTCTTCATTCTCTTTGTCCGACAGAACCTAAGATAAACCAATTATACCTATGATTAGCTTCCAATGCATTTGAATCTACAATTGTGAAGGAAATGGTAGGTCCCCAGTCCCCAGTCGTCCTCTTCCTGTCCCATAGGCTTTGGGGTCATGCCTTTCCCTGATTCTGGCAGCACCCTGAAAGTGGATGGGGCATTAATGGGACTTCCAGCCAGCCAGATGCTGCAAAAAGAGGATGACAGTCAGCCCTGTGGTTGTCTTATGGCTTATCCTTTTTTTCTGGGAACCCAGGGCCTGAGGTAACCTCTAATAGAAAACTAAATGAATAGCATCTTACTTTTACCTACTTTGACTAACACCCTTCAGTTTGTACTTTATATTTCATGCCGGAGACTCTCTTTTCGCCGTTTTCCTTAAATTTTTTATTACCACATCCAACTTGTGCCAAACGCAAAAGGGATAGGGACAGCGCCTTCCTACTCACTCTGCAGAGGTAGCAGGAAGACCCTAATGGCACCCACAGGTCCCTCCCTGGAAGAGGGTTCCCAAAGATAAAAGAGGATGGACCTTCAGTTCATGTAGACCAGCAAGCCTCTAGAAGGATGGTCTGTGGGATAATTACCTGAACGTCTTCAATCGTGATGGAATAAGCAATTCCCTGGGACTCCAGGAGAACTTTGACTGCCTGGATGCTGACAAAGGGAACTCGGACATGGGCTGTCTGCCTTAGGTTGGTGGGTGATTTCCAGAAATCAAGCTGAAAGAGATAAAAGGCCAAAGCAATGAGTGGGTCATTCCAGGAAAATGGACAGCTCAGCACAGATAGATTTCAAGAAATCAATTCATATCTATTGTATCTCAAGCCCACCAGACTGGAATCATTGTGGAATCACTACGATATTGCAAGAAGGGTTTTTTAAACATCTGAGCATTGGCGTATGTCTTATTTGTTTTTCCCCCTTATGGCTAGATATTAAAACTGGCAGAGGGGCCGGCCCTGTGGCTTAGCAGTTAAGTGCGCGTGCTTCGCTGCTGGTGGCCCGGGGTTCGGATCCTGGGCGCATACCCACGCACTGCTTGTCCAGCCATGCTGAGGCAGTGTCCCACATACAGCAACTAGAAGGATGTGCAACTATGACATACAGCTATCTCCTGGGGCTTTGGGGAGAAAAGGGGGAAAAAAAAGGGAGGAGGATTGGCGATAGATGTTAGCTCAGGGCTGGTCTTCCTCAGCAAAAAGAGGAGGATTAGCATGGATGTTCGCTCAGGGCTGATCATCCTCACAAAAAAAAAAAAAACAAAACTGGCCAATGGTAAAGATTATTTAAAACTATGGAAGTTTTTTTAACAGTTGACATTCAAGTGATCCAATTCATTTCATAACAGAATATTAACATTATAGATTATTTTAGGAGGGAAATAATGCATTAAAGGTGTTCAACAATTTTTCAAAGTAACTTTCACATTGGATCTCTCTTTTCATTCTTACAATAAACCTGTGAGGTAGAAGAATGGTATATTTATCCTTATTATACTGAATGGGAAAATGAGACACAGGGAAGGTAGGTGACTTGCCCAATGTCACATAGTTGACACTAGAGCACAGGTTTTCTGCATCCCAGCTCCATGACTTAGCATTCCACACTATGTCAGGGAAGACAAGATACAGTCCAAAATAAGAGATCTCAATCGTGTCTAACTGTGGAGTATTCACTCTTGGAAACAGAACCCCCTCTAGGACAGATACCTAAAAATGTTCTTCAGCCTCCAATTCCACCAGATGTTTTATTTATTTTTTATTCCTTGGTATGATCTCAAGAACTTGGTCTCTAAAGAATATTAACCACACACATGACCATAAAAGCAAAACCTGGACACCATTTCCCATTGCTTTCTGCTCATTAGTCTCTGCATTTAAGAGGTTAATGCAGCAGTCAATAATCTCTTTGACAATGGAGAAGCTAATAAATAGTATAGTGACCCACATCCCCAGAAAGAGCAGTTGATAGAATGGCTTTACTTCCCCCAAGGCAATGTTATCTACATAATTAAGAGGTGTACCTGCTCCTAGCAGGAAGCTTGACATTAAAGTTAACTTTCCTTTAGTTAATGATTATCAAATAACATCTGCTGCTCATAAAGTGTTGGCTTTTAAAACTTGTCTGTTCCTGTTTTTCAGAAATAAGTAAAAAAAAAAAAAAGGAATAATTAGTTTGGTGCTTGTAAGTCTTTATAAGAGGAATTGAATCCATGTCTGGGTAGACCTAGGGTGTTTTTTTATTCTTGTTAACTGAAATGTATCAGAGTTCCATCTCCAAACCCCATTCATATGGCCCAAACTTGGGGTATGGCTAGAGAATTGGGGCCCAGAAAAGTCATGAGGTGCCTCTCTCGCTCTCTCTCTCTCTACACACACACACACACACACACACACACAGAGTGAGAAATAAAGGATATCAAGGACACCTTGGCAGGAAAGATAAGTTGAAAAACAAGCAAACATATCTTTAGCAAAAAGTTGGGTAGTAGAGCTAGATTCTTACAGCCCTTCCTTGATGACAGAGGATCCTCCTCTATCACTTTTCTCCAAGTAGGTTGACTTCCCAAGTCACTGCCCTGCCCGTTTGTGCAGTGAGGAAGGGATTGGTATAAAGAGCCATATACAGGGATCCAAACCCGGGTCTTCTGAAACCAAACGCTATGCAATTTCCAGTGAACTCTAGTGGAATACATAAGTGAAAGAATGTGAGATCTTCAAGGCTCTCCTGCCTCCAAGTATCTACCTGCCACAGAGGGTCTAAAAATTTGAGTCTCATTCCTTTTGGTTAATGCATGGACTCCCAGGAGTCCTCCTTTAAAACATGAAGGCATGGAGGGCCGGCCCTGTGGCTTAGCGGTTAAGTGCGTGCACTCCGCTGCTGGCGGCCCGGGTTCAGATCCTGGGCGCGCACTGACGCACCGCTCCTCCGGCCATGCTGAGGCCGCGTCCCACATACAGCAACTAGAAGGATGTGCAGCTATGACAGACAACTATCTACTGGGGCTTTGGGGGAAAAATAAATAAATAAAACCTTTAAAAAAAAAAACAAAACAGGAAGGCATGGAGAAAAAGAATACATTATGCTAATATTTCCTAGTGTGCATTCCAGGGAATAGGGTTGCTTAGCAAAAAAAAAAAATGAAGGTGGGGAGGAGTTTGATGATCAAAAATTTGGGTAGGTGCAGCAACTTAGATCCCCTCTTATAGATTTACAATGCACACTAATTTAGTAAAACCACCTAGAAATCCTATAGTTTGTTTAGCCCTCTGATTCCCAAATTTATTTGACACCAGTAAATAAACTTGACCACCCATTTTGGGGGGACGAATTTATTTGGCACTTTATAGTTCCCTGGAACAGTCTTCAAGAAACGCTGCCTAAAGCCCTTCATAGAATCTTGGAGCCAAAGTGCTTTGGAGCAAGGATGAATCTTACAAAACCATGAGAGCTGGAGTCCAGCTAAAATCAGCAGCCCAGGTCCTCCACTTCATGAGGTTCCACTGCCTGGCGCTAGATCTGAAGATGGGGAGGACAAGGGCTGACAGGAAGGATGGAGCCCAGAAAGGTAGGCAGGAGGTGGTGGGAGAGTAACTGAGACACTTACTGAGATGAACTGAGACAAACAGCCACACAGCTTTATTTTCGTTGATGTCTATCATCCATACATTCTGACCATCAGAGGGGAAAATGAGTAAGGACAGAGAGACATAGGGTATGTGTGTTCAGTTTTCACTTTTATTTTTTCCTTTGTGTCATTCATCTCTTTTTTTTGATCACTCATTCCTGTTATTCCCACTGTCCCCTCTCCAAATCTAAGAGAACTTCTCTGAAAATGCTGAAGGTTTACATCCCTTATTCTGCAACAGTCCAGTGAGAGACTCTGTAAATCACGTAAGCAAAATTCAGACAGGTACCAGAGAGCGTAACTTACCCCACAAATGTTTGTTGACAGTAGATATACCCAAAAAGGGTACCAAAAAACAGGATCAACCTCATGGTCAAGGATCTTCCCAGAGTCCAGAATTCAGTGTCACTCCTGAACTTTATTTGTAGGGACCATGGCTGAGGCTGATCCATTTAAGAACTCAAGTGAATTCCCACATGGTTAAAATCCCACCTGCATGTCATATTCTCAAGGTGGTAGACACCCACCTGTGTGATATCACCAATCTGTACATTTTCCATTCCTACGATGAGATAACAAACTTTGATGGAAAGAAAACAAAATGGTTAGAGCATACCAAGGGCAAATCATGTATTTATGATTTGCAACCTAAAGTGCCACTAACTGTGATCAATAATAGAAGCCAAATTAATAGACCTAGAGGTTAAAGTCCGTTCTGGGTCTCTGACAAAAAAAAGGGCACAGCATTTATAGTAATTACTCAGGCATCCTGTCTATCACATTCCATTAGTTTGCCCATTTGTTTATTTTTATAATGTTTACCCTGAAACACTGCAATCACTCTGTCCACATCTGCTGAACCTCCCTGTAGATGTGGCCCCTTCCAGTCCTCACCCTATATTAAAAAAAAACAGAAGGCCTTTTAATAGTCAATTTTGGACTGTCTCTAAAGTAATCCATCTGAATTTGTACCACATTGATGTCCCTGTTTCTGTGCTTTTTCCCAAAATGAAAATGTCTTTCTGATCATGACAATGAAATTGCTTGTTATAGAAAGTTCAGACAAAAAGGAAGTGTTTTATTTAATCACCAATAATTCCTCCACCCAAAGAAAACCATTTGGTGTATATCTTTCCAAACTTCTATGTTTTAGAGCTTTTTCTTAAACAAAGATTAGACCATATCCTATATTCTGTGTTTTAAACAAAGGTTTTTTTTTAAACAAAGGTGATCTTTCCTTGTCTATCGACATAGATCTACATTAATTTGACTTTTTTCTTCATTTGCATAAAAAGAAAATACACCTACCTGTTTTCAGGAATCATACTTTATTGCATTTTAGTCATTCACACACATTATACTCAGCCTAGCAAGAATCAACCACAAACAGACACAAGGAAATTTCATCTATCCCGTGTGTCAAATTCTTCATCTGCATACACTTTAAATCCCTGGGTTAGAATTCTCAAGTACCTGCTTGAAGGGGAAATATGTGTGTGTGTGTATATATATATATATATATATATATATGTTGTTTCTGGTGTAAGAAACTCCTGGATTTACTTGGTGTTTCATTCTCTTGGGCGTCGGGGAGAAGAGAGAAACCAAGAGCCAGAGGCCGCAATTCATCTTCATGTCCCCAGCACCTATCGAGTAAACAGTCATCATATTAATTGAAATGAATTTTCTCAGAGAATCAGTAAAAGCTTCTTGGAAAAGATGGGGCCCAAGCTGAATCTTAGAGCAGAGAGGAGTTGCTGAGGAGAGCTTGCATTTCTGGTGGTAGGGAAACATGAGAAAGGTAGAGAACTGGGAAAACGCATGGTTGGATTGGGGAGGAAACATGCCCTACTCGGGCAGACTTGACCCTGGACATGGTAGGAAAGATAAAATGTCAGAAGGTGGGGTGAGATGGTAGAGGTCCCCTCAGTCCAAGCAGAGGAGTTTCCACCTGATGAAAGGGGGAAATGGAGAGCCTCAGAAGTTTCTGAGCTGGTAAGTGGTTGATGAAGGCAGCATTGAGAATGATGGATCTTGCAGAATGGGTTGCAGGGCAGAGATACTCTAAGCAGGGAGCCAAGTAAGGAGCTTCCTGAAGAAATCCAGATTTAAAATGATGCATCTGGACTAGGTGATGGCAGAGGGAATGCAAGAGATGGGCTCAAAGAGGTATTTCAGTGGAAGAATCACAAGTCTGTGGTGAGTGACTGGTGCCTGAGTAGGTGTAGGAGGAGGAGCCAGGGAAAGGGTACTTTCCAGTGGGTGTTAAAGGAGGGCAGACAGTTACCTCTACAGCAGCCTCCCAACATTTCCTCACTCAATTGTCACACTGTGTGAAGTTCCACTATAAGAATTTGTTTCATCTTCCCTAAAAAATGCTTTCAAAAAGGAATTTTTGCTGAGAAATACTACCGAATGAGTTAAATTCACTGTAAGTGTTAGGGACGTGATGGCTTTTTTTTCTTCCTGAAAAGGATTGTGAGGCCAAGCCTAGAGCCCCAACGGGGATCCAAGAGAAGCTTGGACCCCCTCACTCCTGAGCCTAGGGCAATCCAAAGAGAGAGAACTCGAGGATGATCCCTGAGATGAGGGAAAAGGACATTCCCTGGAATGGATAAAAATAGTAATTAAAAAAAATAAATAGAAGAAGTTGAAGGAGGAGAAAGCACAAGCCTTAGTAGAAGGTTGCAGGGAAAATTCCAGAAAGCACTGTTGTTTCTCTCTGTCACTGACAATACAGTAGTCCCCCCTTGTCCTCAGGTGATGTGTTCCAAGACCCCCAGTGGATGCCTGAAACCGCGGATAATACCTAACCCTATATATACTATGTGTTTTCCTATACATATATACCTATGATAAAGTTTAATTTATAAATTAGGCACAGTAAGAGATTAACAACAATAACAAATAACAAAATAGAACAATTATAACACTATACTGTAATAAAAGTTACAGTAGATCTTAGCAATCTCAACATACGACTTTTTTCTTTTCGTATTAAGTCAAAAGCTTTCACCTTTTCACATAAAAGAAGCACTTTATGGCTTCTCTGTGGCATATCCGAATTGCCAGCATTGCTACTCTTGCACTTTGAGCCATTATTAAGTAAAATAATGGTTACTTGAACACAAACACTGTGATACCACCACAGTCCATCTGATAACCAAGGTGGCTGCTAAGTGACTAACAGGTGGGTAGCGTATACAGCACAGATACACTGGATAAAGGGATGATTTATGTCCCAGGCAGGAGAGACCAGGATGGCTCAGAGATTTCATCAAGCTACTCAGAATGGTGGCGCACAACTTAAAATTTATGAATTGTTTACTTCTGGAATTTTTGATTTAATATTTTTGGACCTCAGTTGACCGTGGGTAACCGAAACCACAGAAAGCGAACCTGTGGATGAGGGGGGACTGCTGTATAAACAGATCCTTATTAGAATAGAGCTTCATCCTTCTATCTCTTCATCATTCTAGAGGCTGGATAAAATCTGTTTTTTTAGATAGCAGTATTGAGGTATACATGACATACAATAAACTGTATATATTTAAAATATGCCATTTGATACATTTTCACCTATGTGTACACCCGTGAAACTATCACCACAATCAACATCGTGAACATATCCATCACTCCCAATAAAACTTGTTTTTGAGAATCACTGCAAAAATCTCCAGCCAGAAAGAGATCATTAAAGCCCCCTTACTTTCCAGATGAGGAAATGAGGCCCCAAGAGGAGAAGGGACTCCCACAAATCTCCAGGGCTGATCAGGGATGGAGCAGGCACTGCTCTGACGTTCTGCACTGTCCAGTTATCCAAGGGAATTCTACTCAGCTCCAGGAAAAGACTGTTTCAAACTAAATACTTCCATATCAACCTATCCCTAGGGAAGCTGTAATTCAGAAAGAGAAAGATGATAGCTCTCTTTAGGTATTGCTCGAATGGCATGTTACTTCCTATTAAGGATGATGTTAGGCACACGTCCCACTTTTGCCCTTTAACCCCAGAAAGTGAGTAGCCTAATTGCAGGGAGAGTAAGCCACTAAAGGGAACTGTAGGAGACACGACTTCAAATTAAATCCTTCGGTAGAGTTACCAGACCCCAAAGCACTTCACAATCAAAACTCTGAATGCCTTCACATGTAGAAACATTATTATTCATAGTAAAATGAGTTTTACAGCTCTGTTAGTAAACCATTAATGATATATTTCAGAACATTATGGATTAAATAGACTTCTGTGCTCTGACTGGAAAATATACAAAGTCATAGTGTCTGTGAAAAAAAATATGCTCCAAATTTCAATCAACCAAACTTTAAATCAAATTTCCCATGACAGGAAGATGAAGATTTTATCAGAGTTGCTTGATTCTCTGCCACACGTGAACAAGGCAGCTTCAAAACCTTATGGGATTACTTTGTTTTGACAAATATACCGTGGTTATGTAAGATGGTAACATTAGGGCAAGCTGGGTAACAGGTATGCAGAACTCTCCATGCTATCTTGGCAACTTTTCTGTAAATCAAAATTATTCCAAAAGTCACTCCAAAATAAAAAGTTTATTTAAAAAATAAAACCTTCTGGGGAGCCACATGCAAAAACAGTAACAAGGCAAACAATGTATGGTGGGAAATATTTGCAGCTTATACATTAAAGGGTTAATATCCTTACTATGTAGACAGCACTTACAAAACTCTACAAGAAAATACCTTGTAGAAAATGGACAATAACAAAAATAGGCAGGTCAAACAAACACACACAAATATATGGTCAAATAAAAAATGTTCAACATCTGTACCAAAGAAACACTATTTTTAAAAATGAGATGCCATTTTTTTCACCAATCAGTTTACAAAGTTGTTGGGTATCTTGGTTGTGGTGGATGTTTGTTTGTTTGTGTGTTTAATATAATCCAGAACTGGTGAGGGCTTGGGAAAATGGACACTAGTGGAAGAGTATACACTGTTACAGCCTTCCAAGATAGGGAATGGGCAATTCAAATCCAAAAACTTAGGACCTCCACACTTGCCATTCTTCTTTTAGGAATTTTTTCTGAGGAGATCATCATGGATACACACAAAAATTTACCTAGTATTTATATTGTTAAAAATGGCAAAAAATTAGAAAAATTTTGGTGTCTTCTAACTGGCAATTGGTTAAATCAAGCAGAGCAAATCCACACCAACCAAAGATGAGATGACCATTAAAAATGATGCTGTATAAGAATACTAAGAATATTCAAAAACGTGGAAAGATGTTACAGAATATTAAGTTTAAAAAAAAAACAGGGAGATTGGTGTCAAGATGGTGGCGTAGGCAGATTCTGAACTCACCTCCTCCCATGGAGACAACAAATTTACAGTTACTCTTGGGACAATTACCCTTGAGAGAGAACTGAAAACTGGGTAGAAAGAACCCCTGCAACAAAGGACAGTCCTGACTGAGGTGGAAGAGGCAGAAATTCCTTTCTGGAGAGAAAAAAAGCCACCATAACAAGCCGCAGTGCTTCACAGACACCCAGGAGCAATCCAAAGTTATGCAGCCTTCCCTGGAGGA